TTATCAATTTCGGCTAGTTGTGGTTAGTCCGCAATTAGTTGTGTATGTTAACCTTGAATGAATAATAATCAGGGGAAGTTGCAGCACAAACTTCTATCAAGTTCGAAACATTACACTGATTATGAAAACAGAGGGACGTCTCCTGTTGCTAAAGTTAAAGTGGGAATCGCAAAAGCAAGGTTTACAAAATATACAATATTTCCGGATATTTCTCGAACATCCAAAGAATGGTTTATCACGCTTGCAAAGAAACAGAAAATGCCATTTATTGCTCTAATAAAATAACCGCAAATATATCATTTGTTTGGGTTTACTTGTACAATAAAGGAGGGTTTTTTTAAACCAAGTAATTGGTTATTAATATAATTGATGGAACTAGGGGTCATGTAAGTTTTTACTTAGTACCTTTTGTATACATAAGAAGTGAACCAAAGCTGAGTAATTTGCGCAGATCTCAAAAAGACCCCCGGAACATAATTCAGGGAAACACGAATTGAGGTCAGCTTGAACATTGTCAAGTATTACCCCACCAAAGGTCGGTTTTGCTCTATTTGATAGGCAAAGAGCACCTTTATTTGTCTCCTCTGACTCGGGTTCTTTAGCAAATTGTCCTACTTCTATGTTAGGACTTAAAAAAAACACCATGTGAACCGCTAGTCTCCAATTTTACGGCGACACCCTCTTATGAAATCAAGGTTTTTTTCGGTGATGAACATCGTATAAAAACCAATATTTAAAGAATCATTTAAGTTATAAGTTATATGTGGGACTATTGATTCAGAATGTAATGTTTTACGACTTAAGTTTTGTTAGTAGAATACGTTAATGTAAATATTGTAAGTAATGTTAATCATCACCATCATCATCATCATCATCATCAAAAAGTGAACTGAAACATTGTAAAGTGCATGCTTTTCAGGCTTTTAATTAAATTATATAACTTCTATCTCAAAGAGCATTGTATTGGACAAAAAGAATGACCAATGGAAGAATTAACAAAAAAAAACTGCATTAACCACAGCAACAAAATTCATGCATATCACACTAGCCTTAACACTAAACTAAATGGTCTAAGGTTAGTAAATATAAGCAATGTGACTGGCCTAACTTAACATTGAACTGTCTGTTGTGTAGTTAAATGAAGTGAACTTCAGTAAACTAGTGTTAACTGATGTAAATAATTTGATGCAAATAACATTTAGATCTTCCTTAAAACCAAATACTATTCTCAGTAACTATGCATTCATAAGTGACAATCAATTGGGATATAACTTTAAAACAAAGCAGTCTTCCATTAATAAATCAACAATTCACAAAGGAATCAAAAGAATTATTAAAATAGTTGATTCAAGCAATTCAATAGTGCTAACAATGTAGTCATTACCAAACAAAAGCAATCAACAGTCTTATTCAAAGACTCTAATAAACTGAACAGCAGAAAGCCACCTCCACACAAGTTGCAAGATATGTTTTGACCCAAGCTTTGGAAAATAATGGATGAGCTAGTTGACCAGTGAAATACACCTTCTAAGGTTCCAAATTCAACATCTGAATATAGCAACATACCTACTTGATGGAAAGCTGCTTTTTGCACAGTTTGTAACTGTAATGATAATGTCAGTAATTCAGTGACAACTGAGAAGAACTTTCTTTATTATTTATCAACGATTCATATGTGTTAATTTGGTAACTGCCAATTTAGTAAATTTTTAAGTAATTTAAAGGTGAAAGTTTGCCAGCTGTAAAATACATTTCCCTAGTCAATGACTTTTATCAATGTTTCCATCTAAAGTCTTTGTAAGTTTGCTTGGTGCTCCCAGATGTAACATTTGTGAGGCAGATATTATAGAAGAGACAAAAGGCACCCTGTCACACAATTTAAAGGTATCCCTCAGAGTTTTTCTTTGACATGTCTGGTAATGTATGCATAAGTTCATGCATTATTTGTATACTGTGATGATAGTCATCTATACAACAAAACCTAATTCACACACTTCTATGAAAAGGATTCTCTCTGAACAGGTTTAATCATCATTCCCCCAAAAAATTTTCTTCAAATCCTTTTTTTCTGCTTCAGTAAATAAGAAACACAATTGAGGTGATCATAAGAAAAGTAATAAATAATGTCAAAAATATAGATGCAGTAGATGTTTGATAATATTGCCCCATCCTAAAAAATTGAAAGAGAACATAACACAAAATATGCAGTAAATTTGTTAGCTGTGAGAAAGAGCATAGAAAAGTGATTTAGTGGTTCAGAAAGGTAAAAAATTTTGGAACATTTTGAACATTAAAATTAAATGGGAATCAGGATCAGACAGTTCACCAAACAATATATGAATAGAAGATAATAAAACAATAATACTCAAAACAATTATTGCAAGTCCTCAACATCAAACCTACGCCTCCATGTTAATCTGTCTATTTGATTATCAATATGCATACCTCAAGGCCTTCGTAGGCTTTGACACTTTTGTTTGTGACCAGCCTTCCAGTCCTTCCTCTGGCATCGATAGCCACAATAGACTACAGCCTTGCATGCACTACACTTCATCAGAGTTACTTCTTCATTTGCCATCTGCCCACAAAAGCCACAACAATGTGTCTCAGTCACCGCACTCTCTTTCCAGGTAATTTCTTTAAAACTTACTATTGCATTAACTTTCAACATTGTGTACATCTCACAACAGGCAAACTGACATAAACATGCAAGCCTGGGGCAATTAGAAAAGTCTTTCAAGTTGTCAGAGTCCATGATTTTCTCATAGATGTACATATCATGGCTTGAAATCATATCATCAATCAGTTCCCCTGAGCCATCCACAAACAGACCTTCACTTAAAGTGACCTTCCCTTCTAGAGAGCAGTTCAGAAATGAAACTGGGTTGTGTCCACCAGACAATAGGTCCACAGCAAAATCTTGAAATTTTGCCAGGTCCTGACATGCACATCCTTTCTTACTACATGTCTGTGTGGAGTTCCCTTCGTCACTGGCATGCCTAGAAACTTCCTTAATTGAATATTTCTCATAAACTTTCCTTGTTGCAGCAAGAAGGTCAACAAAACTCCCAGAGAGTGCTTCCTTCTTGTCAATACGTGCCATGGTTTTCCACTTAAAGAGAAAATTTTGGGCAATTGAAGGGGCAACAGCTCTTGCCATCATGACAGAACTTAGTTGCTGCATTGAGGCTTTATCATCACAAAGGGTTGTGTACTGTGGCAGCTTTTCCACTTCTAAAATATTTTGGGAAATTTGACTTTTGAACACTCCTTCAAACAGTTCACCAACATCATTAATGGCTTCCCCTGAAAGTTTGCCATGGCAATGTTTGACCAATAGCTCCACCAGAAGAGAAGTACAGGATGCTGCCCATTTCATAGGATCAAAATTGTTGCAATCAATAGAATCTACAAACTGATCCACTGCTTCTTCGATTAGAGCTTCTGTCATGGGAGGTGTTGGTTTACTCATCCAATACAAATTTGTAAATGAGTGTTCCAAAAAGATTCCTAGGCCATCTTTCAAATGATATTTAATGCAAGTCTCAAATTCCTCTTTACATTGGACTTTTTTTACTGCAGCAAGTGCAGTTACAAGAGATTGCCTGTTGGTTTCTGTTCCAATTTTACCTCTTCCATCTTTATCAACACATGTCAAAGTCCATGTTCCTGGTAAGACATTATCAGCTCTCTCCATGGTTGCAGAGGAATGGCAAGTTTTACACTGATGTCCTTTTGACAATTGCCAGTTAACCTTGCCCACTTGTCCTTCACAACCTCCTATCTGTGCAAACTTGATTTGAGTCAAACTTAGAAACACATCCACAACTGGGTTTCTAGCATCAATCATTCTTTCAGCATTCTGATCCTCCACAATTTTTTTCGCTGACTCGAGCATGGTGACTCCCAACCTCAGATCTCCTTTCCAAGTATACCACAGAGCCTGATGCCTACATATTCCAGTAAGTCGCTCGAAGTTAACAGGAAGACTGAACTTCTCCAATGTCGTCTTCTTCCACTGCGACAATTTGCTTCTCTGGCTGTTGGCTTTGCTCATAAAATCGATCATGGTCCCACCACCTAGGAGGAGTTTCTCGTATTCCGGGGGTTCCGTGGGAGCTGGGGGTAAGGGACAACAAAGGTACTCTAACTCCGACTTCTCTATCCACCAGGCATCAAATTCCGGGCGACGAGGGTCTAAATAGGTAAATGACTTCTTCACTTCGCTTCCTCCCTTCGCCATGATAAATTCTTCTTCGCTACTGTAGTTACAAAATCGCGAAACACGCTCGTAAAATTCAAAGCTGCGTTTGACTTCTCTGTTGATGAAAGTTTCACCTCCTTGAGAAGCTTTCGCCTTCTCGTAACAAGGGATAACCAACAGTTTCGCCGCCTCTTCGATTGGTACCGGTTGGAGAATAGCTTTCCCCGCAGCCAAACTGAAATTACTCTCAAGTATTGGTACTAAATCGCTTTCCCTCAACTTTTCCAGGGAGAATCCGTCCCGAATTTCACCACCAACATAGCACAGAATATTGACCAGGTCAAAGGTCGGTTTTGTGGCCTTTCGTCCTCTCTTAAAAATTCCATTAACCGAAAAAACACCCCTTCCATCCGTATTCGAGACGTACCCTAAGCCATGCTGGTATTTAGACAGGACTTTTGGGTTAAATTTGAGACTGTATGCCATTCTTTTTTTTTTTTTTCTTAACTTCTTTCCTGGAAAGGTGCTAAACTTTCCCTATGCACTGCCGCGAAGCGCGGTTGTAACTACTTTCGCGCCAAAATCACTTTCGCAAAGTGCATGATGGGCAGATAACATTTTAGTACTTACCAGGGTGCTAGACGATTGGTTAGCGCTGGGGAAGCTAGGGTATCGAAGGGATCCGTAACCACAAAACGACCCCCCACCCCTCCCCTGTACCTGTTTTCACTGTCTTAAAATACTCGCTTTCGTGAAAAATTTTCTATCGGTTGAGTCTGGTAGCGCGATATTTTGATCGCTTAAGTGTTTCACGGATGAAAAAAGGCAAACAAAGAAGAGAACATTCACGGATGAAAAAAGGTAAACAAAGACGAGGAAATATTTGTTCTCTACCCATGGTGCATTGAAGATCATTTTAAACTCTGCTTACATAAAGTATTTATTTCCTCGTAAATCGAAAGGACATCATGGCGTCACTACATTCATCTCTCCCGGATGGCTACGAACAGGGATCATATCAAACGCCAGAGTTTACGGAGGAAACCTTGTTAATGTACGAGCATGGTGTAGCTTGTGTATCCAATGTCGATGGACGGGGAAATGTTTCTATTTACGCCATGATCAAACGAGGGGAGAAGAAAAATTCGAAACTGGTTTTCGATTACGCCAACATCTTGGGCTTCGTCGGCGGCGAGATAAGAGATGGATTCTGCAATACAAACCTCAAGGAAGGCGAAGCTCTTCGTTTTATGCAAACCCATATAGATCTGTCGAAAGGGAGGACCGTTAGAATGGTTTTTGCTCCCGTCGAAGAGGTGTCGGCCATGTTTGTACTTCCGCTTCGGGTGAAGTCCCTTCAGAATGGAGTGGATTTCCCTGATCCTAGCACGGAAACGGCTTTTGAGTACTTCAAACAAGCAGCAAAATTATGTCCTTATCAGAAGCTTGAAGATTTCTTTGATTTCAAGCTTGGTAAAGCTCCCCGAAAGGCAGATCGTTCGAAGTTCAGCGGCCACAGAGCAGAGCTGGAGTCATGGTGGCTGGAGAGGTCCGAGCTGTTATACTACAACTGCCCACCTCCGCCCCAACCGCCTATCCTGAATCTGACCAAACTAAATGAGAAGAAGAAAGAGGGAAAATTTATGTCAGGGTTCATGGAACAGGCTAGCCAGTGGAGGAAAAAGCAAGAGAATTCAGAAGCATGGAAGAAAGTTGCAGTGCAGAGGTTGACTGATTCTCAGAACTATGATCGATTCTGTGGAATGGCAATTCTGCAAGCACTGTGGTACATCTGGATAGGTGACCCTGAACGTGCAATAGTGATGGTGGAAGCTTGGCAAGATTTTGAAAGAGATAGGGCAGCAGGGCGGTCTCTTGATGCAAACAGCATTGTCTTGGAAGAACTTTTAGATTTAACTCTCGGTAATCTATCCAGTAGAGGGATGTGCATTGGTCAAACCAAAGTTGATTCAAGATTAACACTAAAGAAGATGTGTGAAGTTTGCTTGAGTCCAGTGTTTCTGGGACCCAATAGAAATGGCTTTCATGTCTTAACATGTATTGACAAAGATTCCAATGGTGAATTTGGTTGCAAAAATACTCGTGTGAATATAGCGAAATTGCTATTTGCCATCAACAAATATGGAATGAACAAGGATTTTGATACAGCTGCTAATCACTCCTTTCATGAAGCTCTCCACATCTTTCTGGAGCATTCATTTTCTGTGTTGTATTGGAGAATCAAACCCACAAACCCCATGACTGCAGACACTGAAAATGAAGCAGTTCCAAAGTTCATTGAATTGCTGACAGTTGATGAAAAACTAGATGCATCAAAATGGGTTGATTCTTCTACTGCTGTGTTAAGAGAAGCCCTGGTGAACCACTGCAGCAAGAAGCTTGGCAAAGAAGATGTGGATAAGTTGACAGAGCTATTTCGCTCAAAACTAGAGAAAATTTTGATAGAGTATAACAAGGAAGAGAGAGATAGCGCAAAGCAATCTAAAGAACCTAATTTGAAAGATGTGAGGATTGATCTCTTGCGAAAAACTGTTGCTCCTACAATGTCTCAACAATTTAAGCGTAAATGGAGACTCATGTCCATTGCTAAAAGAAAAAGGATTTTGTTAGTGGTAGACAGTCAGCGTGTTAGAGAAGCATGCAATGAATCCTACAAACAAATGGAGAAGATTGATGAAGAAGAAAGAATAAAAAAGCTAAATGAAACAACAACAGCAGACCAACAAATAAATGGGAGCCATGGAGGTGAGCTTTGCACAACTCCTGGTGGTAACGAAGAAAGGTATGATGCTTTAGAGACAGCAGACTGTGAAGAAAACAACCCAGGTATGCTATTAGGTCAGAAAGGATCATCAGAGGATTCAGACAGTGACGATTTACTGGCAGGCACAGATGTTACGTTTCCTGAAAAGTGCAGTGGTGATTCCTGTCCTTGTACTGATAGCTACAAGTTTTGGCAGCATTTGGTTAGCATTTTGGTCAGTGATAAAAATCCTGTTCCCTACTTTAAGTGCATTGATAATGGTGACCTAATCTTGCGAGGAAAACTCTGGGAAGATCAGGAGGGTCATTTCTTTGATGACATAATCACTCTCAATGAAGAATTTATTGGTGGTGCTGTCCTACCAATGGAAGATGAGGTGTTTTCGCAGTGCAAAAGACTTGCCTTGATTTGCAAAATGGCATGCCATCGGCTAATTCCAATGCTTTTGATGGGCGTCATTCATCAGTTTGGAGAGTTAGAAAAGAGAGAAAATGTCAAGTACGAATGCCAGGCATGTCAATGCTGTGGCCAAGTTGAGGAGGAACCAGGTGATTTCAAGAGATGTGGTGAATGTAAGAGTGTTTTCTACTGTGGCAGGAAATGTCAAGCTCAAGATTGGAAAGCTGGCCACAAGCAGATATGTCAAGATCTTGTGAAGGACCAAGAGTGAAAAAGTAAGGTGCCATTTTGCACTTTTCTTTTATAAGAATTCTTTGTGTAGGGCTCTATGCTGTAACTACTGGTAAAATATTTTGGTGACTGAGGTTGGAGCAAAAGCAGCCATTAGAGACAACTAGAGAAATGCATATTGTGTGGCTTAGTATAGAAGGACAGTCCAGCCAGAAGAATAATAACAGTAATGTATTTTGGCTCTTATGAATTTTTACTACCCCACTTCCTCAGTGATTAGACCCTCTTCACCCTTTATCTTCCAAGATCTGATTGTGAATTCCCTCGACAACATTTCCCTGTAGATTAAATATGAGAATTTGGTGTTAGGTTAAGATAACAACTTGAGCTTGATAAGTTTTAGTATTCTTATTACCTGTTTAGTGGATAATGTATGGACATTTTGGGGAGAAATTACAAGTTCATCACTTAAAGACTTTTTTTTTTTTCCTGCTTAACAGGTTGTCTTGCTCATTTCCTCCTCACAAGAGTTTCTCATACCAAAACACATTGGTTACTTATATTTATTAACTGTGTCTGCTGTGGCAATTAGTAATGTTAGCAGGAAAAAGTGGAATACGATTCAGGTAAAAATATGATGAGTAACTTTAAGTTCACTTCAAAACCTACAAGCACACATATCCTAGGATTGTGTCCACATGAAGTCCTGAAACCAATTATTTTTATCAATAATGGAGTGCTAGAAATGCACATATTTATCATATGATGATTCAGAAATTTTGTATGTGTTTAGAGAGCTAGGTTTGTTGTATTGTTAGCATTTTCATAAGGATATGTTGTAGCTGGAGAATAAACTCCTCTTTTGAATTGAGATGAAGATTGAGTAAAGTAGAAACAGAGAATTCTTTATCTTAAAAATTCTGAGATCTCCAGTGCCCAATCAACATTACATGTTGTAATTGCCTTGTTCTCAAAGTTTCTGGATTGATAAAATTACTGTAGATTGGTTGGTAAATTATACTTAAAAAACTGTTTAGTCTTCTTACATATCTTTGCACACTTTTCGTCTTACTTCATTGGTGCAGTAGTAATGCAAAGATCACTGTGGCTACAAAATTTAAGATTATTTTTTACTAAGTAGAGGCTAAAGAAGGCCTTATGTGTCACAAAGTGTGAAGAAAATAGAGGTTTAAAATCTAACATAGAGTTACAGGCATGCTTGTTCTTTTTAGAAAAGATTAAGCTTTTCTTTATATATGTTACTTAGTATTGTGAACTCTGTTCATCTTTAATTGGTATAATGTTTATTTTAATAATTATTTTCCCCTTTATGAATTTTTTGTTTTAAGTTTGGAGTTGTATATCAGTTGTGATTCCTGGTAGTGTATACAACTCAACAACAGTAACATGAAACTTTGGTGCATAATACTCAAAACATCAATTTTTTGTCTAATGGGTTTTTTTGCCTTGATTTTGCTTGTTAAGATTCTAGAGAAATATGATTTCATAAAATAGTAATAGTAGAATTAGGGAAAAACTAGGAATAATAGAATAATGCCATTATGGAAGAGGTTTATATCTGATAGATCTCATTTAGAGACTGTGTTATCTGAATTGTGTAGTAATAACCTTAATTGTGCTTAATATTTTGATGAAAGTATGTTATGGAATTGGTGTCTAGAGATTTAATTGTTAGAAGTTTCCTTTTTTAAACTTGGTAATGTAGTTTATTATTTTTCAATACGTATACTCCTCTAGTAGGTTAGTCCTAAGCTACTTGAATATGTCTTTTGTAAAGTAAAAAGACTACTATGGTTGAATAAATATTTCTGGCCCAATTTAGCTGAAATTTTGTCATAGTGTAAACAATACGCGTTCTAGGATGTTCTGAACATTCTTCCAATGATTTCGTTTTTACCAGAGGGGAAATTTGGTGAAGTCCATTAAAATCAAACCGGAGGTTGGAAACTTTTTCTGTTTATCGCAGAGAAAATCAAGAAATGTCCAGATTTCGTATGCAACCGTAGTGTTCAGTCAGTCGTCAACTAATTGGAATTTCGGAAAGCTGAAATATTTGCAATGCTTCACGAATTACGAATTTTTTGCGTCACTTTTGAACCGACTGAGGATGATACACATTCGCGAACCGTTCGGAATTTTCTTCCTTTTCAAATGTAGGCTCGAAACCAGTTGAAAATAAAAATGAAAATACTCACGAATTCGGAACTTGTTTTCTACTTTTTTATTCCAGCAACGTGTACAACAGAAGGTTAAAAAACAGAAAATGAGTAATACGGGCAAGGCGAAAGGGGACTGACACGCGTGCTTACCTGCTCGCGCGCGCGTGCTTGTCTTTATTGGCGCTATTACCGAGTTGCATGTTTTCATTTTTGTGGATTTTGAGGATAATCTACAATCCAAAAATTTAAGTTTGCCCTAGAAAAAATATCCCACAAAACGTAAAAGAATACATTTCGTAAGCGAGTCTAGAGTTAGTCAGTTTTCCTAGTGTTACATAAAATATTAATTTAAGAATCATCAGTAAGTTATCAAATCTAAGATTTTTTTATATGATGCTGTGCTAATTTGCTCTGTTACTGTAGCAGAAAATCGCAAAATTTAGCACTCGTCAGAAACATTTCTGTCGTCTCGAACCTGGAACAGCAAATAATTTGTCCGCGCAAAAACCCAGCAATCCCCGTGCTGCTAAAAAGAACACCCGCAATTTTTTTCATGTCCTACATTACATGGCAGTTTTTGTTAGCAGGTAGATTACTATTAAGGTTATTCAGGTGTGAAATGGAGAAGAGGCGTGGTGTTTTTCCATTCTGAGAGACAAATTTCAGTTTTTCTGGAAAACAAAGTGGTTTGCCCATCAGGGTTATTTGCATCATAATTTTCGTTGTCTCGTCGTTTCACCTTGATTTGGATCTTTCTTCTCCGCGCTATTTCGGTTTTAAGCTTGTTTTTATTTTGTTTTCAGTTTTGATTAGAGGTCGGTCTTTCAGTTTCTGGTAATCCCCACTTCCTTTCTAAGGGAATCCGGTGAAATGTTGGGGGAGAACCTGTTGTGATGCTCCCAATTTAGCGCAAAACAACTTATGTGTCATATTTCATTCGCTTGGTCGCGACCAAAGAACACCGTGATTAATGACCACCTTTAGTTATCAATATCTCGTCTTGTACGTGGAAGGCAGTATCAAAATTGGAGAAATGTCTGAGAGGCAAGAACATCATTAGAAAAGGTGCTTATATTGTTTTAAGATTTGTTGCGCCTCGAATAACTTAAAACTAAATTGACACTATTTCAAATTCCACCAATATTCGCAAGAGCCAGTCCCCCTCCCTCCCTCTTTCCCTCCTCCCTCTCGTGCCCACCCCCCCCCCCGTGTTTTTGGGTTATGCACGAACGCTTTGCGGACCTATTCCAGACGCCTCGAGGAGTCAGATGAGAAAATCATGGCGGCCTCCTCGAAGAAGAAGGGAAAGATACCGGAATTTTCTGTGGAAACCCTGTCGCGGTCTAAGCATGGTATAGCTTGTGTAGCCAATATAGACGTTAGAGGAAATGTCTCCATCTACGCTATTTTCAAAAGACCCGCCGGACCGAAAAACAGCAAAGGATTGTTTGATTTTGCCACTGTCGTGGGCTATATAGGAGGCGAATTTCGAGAAGGTTTCTGTCAAGGGGATCTGAATGAGGGCGAATCTGTTCGCTTTTTACAATCCTACATTTCTTCATTAGCGGAAAAGAGAATAGGAATGTGTTTCGTGCCGGTAGAACAAGTTGCCGCACTGTTTCTACTACCGCTTCATCATAAGTCACTTAGAAAAGGCTTTGTCTTTCCGGACCGCGAGACAGCAAATGCCTTTGAATGTTTCAAGCAAGTGGCTCATTTCTGCCGCTTTTCCAGTCCAGAAGAGCTCTTCCGTGTAAGATTGAAAAGTTTGACAGGTCGTGATATTACAAAAGCTAGAGATGCAATCTCCGGTGACTTGAATCTCTGGACGATTGATTATAATGAACTGGTATTTCACGAGTGCCCCATGCCTCCCGACCCACCAAACTATCCAAATGGGGACTTTGACAAATATGAAGAGTTACCAGGGTTCTTGCAGCAAGCAGGCTGGGTGATCCAAGCCTATTCAGAAGCGGAAGGCTGGAAGAAAACAGCAGCAGGCAAATTAACCTCTCCAGAGAACTACGAAAGATTCAGTGGAATGGCTAAACAACAAGCGTTGTGGTACATCTGGAAAGGTGAACTGGAAAAAGCTGCTGTCATGGTACACTCCTGGCGCAGGTTTGATGAAGACTGCTCAAAGGGAAAACAGCTTGATGTCAAAAATCCTGCCATGGATGCAATGTTGAACATAACTCATAATGACCTCTCAAATGAAGGATTATACGAAGGTTATAGAAAGCCAGATGCAAGGTTAATCCGTGGTAGCAAGTGTGACATTTGTTCAAGTTCTGATGTGTATATTTATGATGCTGAGCGAAAATTAATAAGGCCAAGTAATGTGCGAACATGTGTTGATTATGAAGGAAATGCAGAATTTGGCTCAGAAGAGATACGCAACAACATGGCAAAATTGCTTTTAGCCATTTACAAGTTTGGCACCAACCATGATTTTGAGACATCTGCAACCCATTGTTTCAAGGAAGCTCTTCATATATTTTTGGAACATTCATTTAATAACCTGTACTGGAGAATCAAGCCAACAAAAGCCATGAAAGAGGCAGTAGAGATGGAAGCCATACAAGGTTTTGTGAAAGCATTGCGTAACAAGGCTAAAACAGAGCTTATCTTCTCAAACTTTTCAAATCATTGTTTGATAACATTTAAGGTAGCCATCACAAAGCACTGCAGGAGTAAACTTGGTCTTGAACAGATAAAAAGCTTATCTGATGTGTTTAGTTCAAGACTTGATTATTTGGTCAATACTGACATCAAAAGGTTGATGGAAGAAGATGAAACTAATGAAAGTTCAGGAGCTAGTGACAGTGCTAAGACAGTTGGTATTGACCTTTTGTCAAAGACTTTGATACCTTCTTTTGCTAGTGAATTCCAAGGGAAATGGACCTTGCTTCCTGAAGCCAAAAGGCAAAAGATTTTGACAACGGATTCAAAAGCACTAGTGAAAACCTGCAAGGATACCTTTGCTAAGCTCAACAAGATATATAATCGTCAAACAAAATTGCCAGAAAACCAAGTTATGCAAGAAACAACAACACAACAAGCTGATGATCTATCCGTGGGTGACAGCAGTGGTGGAAATGACCAGAAAAATGCTGATACTCTTCCAGAAACCTCCAACAAGCCTAAACAGAATGATGAGAACAGTGGAGACATTCCTGATTTTTGTCCAGATGATATTTGTCCTTGTAAAGATCCCAAGAAGTTTTTCAAGCACTTTGTTGCAATTTTAGCTGGTGATGAAAACCCTGTGCCTTTCTATAAGTGTGCTCCTACTGGAGATGTTATCATGAATGAAGAAATGTGCTTGGACAAAGATGGAAATAATGTCGGGCGTATGGTGGCTTTTGATTTTGAACATGTTAACACCACAATGAACACAATTGACAAAGAAAAGTTTTCAACCTGCCCTCGCCTTGCTTTACTATGCAAAAAGGTTTGCCACAATATCTATCCCCTGCTGATCATGAGCTTGTGTCAGGGGTTTGTTGAGTTACAGAAGAAAGATGATGTGAAGGTTGAACTTTACACCTGCCCTGCATGTGGAAATAAAGAAACAAAACCAGGAGAATTTAAGAGGTGTGGTGGATGCAAAATTGTGTATTACTGTGGCCGGAAATGCCAAGTACAACATTGGAAAGCTGGACACAAACAGCAGTGTGACACATCTGCTAAACAAGCATTGTGATTTTATGATGACAGGTATTATGGTTAACAAGCAGTATTAATGCAATTTTAAAACCTTAAAACAAGAAAGATATTATGGTAGTGATGTCAGCATTTTCGAGACGCATTGATTTAAAAAATGGAAGCAGTTTAGAAAAATAATATGACAGAACAAATTATCTTGATTTGTGGTGAAGGCCTTGCACATGTTGATGTTACACTGTGTAACTTTCTATGTAAACTACTTTCACCCATAACTTATCTTTTAGAAGAGTTTTTTGGATTTTTCAACTATCACATCTTTATAAATATTTTCAACCAATTGAGCACAAGGGATAAATTTAGTTGGATATGTTATGACTAGAACAGTCTGATTAAGGTTGCCATGTAAGACAAATTCCTCTTTTAAGGAACATTTTTGCTTGATTTTATCAAATGCACAAAATTCTGATACAGCTAATGATTAGAAATATGAACTGAGTTACTTTTTTTTCCCAGAAAAATTGTTGGCAAAATGATCAAACAATTTTGCTTCCAGTGTTCTTTGCATGGCACTTGTTATTTTAGGCTGCTTTTGTTTTTTTTTTATGAGTGATCACCATGTTTTAATGGTGGGTTTTTTGCAGTGAAAAAGTCGCAAGCAACCGAAATTTTCTTGTGTTCTCCCAAATCTCAACTATCATTGTGGCGTTAAACAAATTGAAAGTGAAGTTGTCATATGGCTATTTAAAAATATTTCAATTTTTTGTGGGTTTACCCAAATTGTATCTTAGCAATGTTGTAAGTTGAGACAATTAACTGTAAAGTGCTGTGGTGTAAAAATGAACAAGAAGGAGGGGTCTGTTAGTGTAACCATGCTATAGATTGGTTGAAAAGTTTTAAAGTAGTAAGTTTAGTAGAGAATATAAATATTGAACTTCTAGTTCATTAAGTATATAGGTATTACTTATAATAGTTGATGATCCCTGCATTTTTTTTTTTTTTTACCATTTAATAAAGGTTTTGTATAGTGTAAACCTCCTTACACCTGTATGGGCTCAGTAACTTTTGTAGATACAAGTGGTTGGTTGTACATGTTGTTTAGACAAAATAGAAATAGTAATCATAACTCAGCGCTATATATTACTAGCAGCAACTTTTGACTGTCAAGTTCTTACCACCATGAGGGCTATTTTATGCCTTTTAATATTAAACTATGGCAGTGCAAAAACAACTTTATCATATGTTTAATTACTGGATACATTTTAGCAAGTTTTCCAATAGGAAAAAATCTGGAAGTCAAAGCTTTCCATGACTACAGAATCACTTTCCAGGCACTGAGTTGGTTATAATAGTATCATATTCAGTAAATTTGAGTAGAATAATTGTTTTGGTAGGATTGCACGCAAAAATAACTCTACCAAAAACAGCTTTTATTTGGTTTGACAAGAAACATTTCATTGTTATAAATGTTATCATAACTTGTAAACAAATCATGTTATGCATTAAGAAAACAAATCCTACTTCCTTTTTCGCTACTTACCTTGAAATCGTTTCACATCAAATTTTGTGGCTTTTTCAGTGGATACAAGAGTTGCACTTTCTTTTCATATAGGGATTAACATGATTTCCAGTGCCATTTGGTGTTAATAGGCACAAGTAAATTTTTCAAAGACAACAAAGTTGCACAAGGGTAAGGGTATGGTGAGTGTGATTCATAGTCTTTGAAAAATTTACTAGTGCTTATTTAAACCAAATTGCCAAGAAATCTTGTTACTTGTTCATAATTTGCATGAAAAGTCAAGACAGGCAAAATTTTGACAGCACACATGCTATTTGTAAGTTACACTCGTGTTACAACTTGGCATTCATGTTACATTAAAAAGTGTACATTATTAGTTCTGTTATTCAAGCTCTGAGGAAAACCGTTCTTTTCTAATTCTCATTACCATAGTTCTTACCTTACTTTCCTGACATATTCATTGACCATATTTGTCAGTGCTAGGTCAAGAACCTGGGTAGGTTAAGTTTATAAAATGATTCCTTTCTGCCAATCAGAATGCCAGAAATGAAATAAAACATGTTCCAGTTCTCAAGATGTATGTTGGCCATCAAAAGTCATGGAAGATGGCAGAAAGTCAAATTTTTCTCCAAGAGCATCAAAGCAAACAAATCTAATTGAACAGTGCCTTTGAAATTAATTTGGGTGCATATTCTGAGTCTCAATCATAGTTCTAACAGTGTCAAAAAAGCTGCCAAAGACTTGTTGGGAACTTAAAAGAAACTCCTTCAGCAACTAATGAGAATTTGAAGAACTGAAGAAGAGACCTGGGCCAACTTGCTAGGGTTTTGGCAATGCCAAATGAGACCAAACGTGAGGTATGGGAGGGTGCCGGAATTCAAATGGATATAAGGATGTCTCTTATCGTAGGAAAAATTGTGGGGAGTGGGGGTGGGCAACAAGTGCTGTGTTTAGTGTTTCACTTGACTTATTTTCAGTTGTTGTTATTTTCATCCTGGTGTCCTATTTTGAAGGACTTGAAAGTCAGAAAATGCAGGGTTTACTTTTCCAGAGAGGGTTTGAGGAAAGAATGAAAAGGATGTGACATCAGAGGCAATTCCTGGGCAGGGATTTAAGGGTCTGGAACTCAATCCCATCAGACCTGTGGATATTTTTATGACTTGTCTGAAACCAAAATAGGATTGCATAATATTTCTCAGCTTGAAGTATTCAGAATTTTTATTTATCTTGAAACTGACATTTCACAAACAACCTTAAAAGCTCAGAATCAATAGTCTGAGTCAAAACTAGATGCCTTAGCCCTATTTCAATTACAATTAGGCTATAACTATCGCATGCATATAAATGATGACACCTTGGCTAATTCCTAACAAAAAGCACACATCATTAGGTAATGCCATCCTATAAAGGAACTTAAAAATAAGCTCTATTGACCTTACACTAATTAAGAGAGTTAGAGAAGCTATTCAGCAAATGGAGCATACCATGACCATGTATGCTCCCTATCAAACAATTATATAAGATTGACATATAATGAAAAATACATATTATTTGGTTAACATTCAGTAACCAAATCTTTAAGCAAAGAATCCTTTTAGGCATAAGGAAATTGTATCCTTTTGATCTTATTTTCTTTTAGCTTTCATGAGATTTGAAACCTCTCTGTTCTACAGCTGCACACAGTAATAAAAGTGTGTTAATTTCCTTTTCACTTCCATGATACTTACCATGCTTTGAACACATTTCTTAGGATGTGAAAGTTGGCAGGACTTCCGTAACTTGGTGGTAAAATGTTTCATACAACTAGTCCCAAATAAAAAATCTTGGTGGAGCCAATGTAATTATAACCCAACCACCATACTACTTCATACTATAGGAGTTCTGAAATAATCTTCACTCTTTGAATATAACATAGAGGAAGAGCCCTCACCCTAGTGAAAATAAAACAGGGGAAAATGCATCTGAGTTAACCCTCTTACTTTCATTCTTGTAAACAATCCTGCATTTTCATATGGTTTTGAATTTATTTTGGGACTAAGGTAATGTTCAGGAGAAAACCTGACTAGCTTATACTCACCTATTCTGTTTCTAAAATACAGCTTTAAGAGGTGTCAAAGCTAAACAAAAAAAGGACTACCTGTAGTATTTAATGACAAGATATATTGTCGTCAACTACTGTGCTACTTACCTCTTCAAATACAGACATAACATTAATAGGTCTTTTAATTTGCAATTGCTACTTGCTGTCCCTTTCAGCTTTGTTTGCAAACAAATTTGGGTAATTTCAAATCTGAATATAACAGCCTTGTGTACTCATTTAGTATCATAATTTAACTGTTTATAGAGAAAGTGCTCAGATTACAAAACACTCATTAATTATGAAAAAAAGTAAAATAAAATCTATCTGATTAACAGGGTTCTAGATTTCTATTAACCATGCAGGAATAAAATTAACCCATTACACATTGTTATCACTAATTATGGGAAAACTACTTGGATTAAAAATTACCTATTCAAAGTAGAAATTCATACCTGATTTAGAGGTTTTTAATTTGTCTCAACCACCCAAAAAGTGCAAATGGGTACTAGAGGATAACCTGTGACACACCAGCACTCCTTCCCCAGAGAGTGGCAAAACTACTGTTAACATTATGCTACCAAAACTGGGTACATCATAGGAGCTATTTGCTGGTCAGTCTTGCATGCACACATTTTCATTTTAGTTGAAGTTGTGGTTATAATAGCATTAAATAAATATCATATGTCAAACTGGGCAAGGAGTTGCCAACTGCAAAGCCAAAATACAAAGAAAAGAAAAATCGAGAATTTTCGAAATTAGAATGTCATCCCCAAAACTTTGAAATTTCTGTGCGAGGCATACCACAGCATTTATATAACTTAACATTTAACAACTATAACTACCAAAAATATTTAGCTGCTAAATGCATTCACCAACTAGAAGGCAAGATCTCTCACTAATCTAAATAAAAAATGCACACAAAAAAATTTATCCTATACATATTCTCAATTAACTCAGAAAAAGAGGCAGAAAAAGGAGTTATGCAGCTGTCTCGTGCAATGCATAATAATAGTGAACCTCCAAACTATATAGTACTAGTAATCACATAAAAATTGTTTTTCCACTTCAGTATAGAATAATTGAAATCAGCCCTAAGAAAATAAGATTTCCTGAAAATATCCTGAGGCTTGATTCTATTTTAATTGCTTATTAACTTGAGCTAAAATCATGACAAGATGAATATCCATGTTGCAGTACTACATTACTGTTGAAGTGAAATCAAGTTACTTAATGCTTCTTCACTTATGTCTTTAAAGTTCCCAGATCATAATAAGAATCATAAAACAATTTACCCAATGATCATTGTAGAAATAATAACTGTTCTTTTGAACTATGTACAAGATTATAAGAATATTTACAATCCATACTGGAAGGAAGCTGTGCATGTTTAAACCAAGGCAATTTATTTTTCAAAGAGGCAACAGATCATTTTGTAACCCAAGTGATGTAGAACCTTAAAAACCTTCTACATCAGCATCTTCTTCTTCTTCAAAAAAAATAACATCTTCATCCTCCTCTCCTTCATCACTTTCATCTATTACAGCATTTTGAGCATTATGCACTTCTTCTGCATCATCTAATATTCTTTTTCTTGGAGGTTTTGGTGGCAACATAAGTTCATCCTTAACAGTCTAAAGGAAGGAGAAAGAAGACATTAAGACCACATCAGATGACACTCCATCTTCAGTCAACCACCATTCACAATTTAAGTTATACCATATTGTCAGACTAGCTCTTTTAGCACTATCATTGCAGTCCGTCATGACGAAACTAGCAAATGTAATTACTGGAGCTGTCAATAATATCTGAGACCACCATCACATTATCAAAAGTAGCTACCAAATGAAAACATTTCCCTCCTCTACCTTACTCTAGCTGTAACATTATAATTTTCAAGAGCAGAATCAGAAGGCTCATTATGATGCAGAATGATACTGGTTCATTGTAAGGTTGCCAGGGTTCTCAGAAAGTTTGCTGGCACTGGTTAACCCTTTAACTCACAGAAGTGGTTAACAAGTAACTTCTCCCTATAATAAAAGTTAAGATTATCCCGCTATCAGGTCATGAGAATATTAAAACTTATCAGATTGTAGTTGTTATCTTGATCTGACACCAAATTCTTGTAACTTATTTACAAGGAAATATGTAGCAGCTAGAGGGGAGAATTAACAATCAGATCTTGTAAGTTAAAGGGTTAAGTCTTCTGTGTGGAGAGGGGTGCTGCAGAGGTTAGGTGTCTTTCCCAAGAACACAACACAATGATCGATCCTAGTCTGAGCATGAACCCTTAGATCTAGTACTAACCAATAAATCCTGCATACCTGACTTCAACCAAATGAAAGAAAGAGTTCAACAATAGTGGAAGTAAATGAGCCACTTGCATCACCTCGCCAATCAAACTCATTCAACAAAAATGTGTGCAAAAATCACTTAACATCTACCATATAAAAATGAGAAGGTAAAAACGTAGCGAGAGTTGGTATGCATACTGTTTAAAGTTAAGAATACAACTACCAGTCTTTTGTCTTACTTGTAACAGTAGCTGCTGATATTGATTTTCTCTCATTCTGGGTTGCTTTTGAGGCGTTTCCTTAAAGCCTCGCCTTAATACATGGCCAAGGTCTTCAGGCGACATAATGTCAGCAGGGTCTAGCAAGTTGTCATTGACCAGTACAACCAGATACTCCACATAATGCTTTCTGGAAAGTAAAAATCAAAATGACACCTAAGGATACATCTATCCAGAGTATTTCACTTAACTCAGGTAGTAAATGTAGCATTTTAATTTGCAGGACTTTCCTCTGTGTAAAATAATTTTTGTGGGTTTGAGGACTATCCAAAGAATCTGTAAAAATCAAAGCAGGCAGGATTTTCTTTCCATGAGAGAGAAAGCTCTTCTTTACTTACTTGCAAAGCCCTGCATATCCAGCTTGAACTTGTTCTCCACACTCTTCGTCACGCAAGCCATCCACAGTTTCTTTCTGCTCATTCACTTTGCAGACCAAAGGTGCAGCTGCTCCTGCTTGAGCTTCATCAGCATTACCTTTATTTGAGGAAATAAAACATGTTTATTTAAAACATTTAAGGCAAGATAAAGAGAATTACTCACCTGACCACAAACCTTTATTAACAATGAAAGAAAAGTGGTCTGTAAAAGGATGGGTCAACTTCACTGATATGAGTCATAAATGATTTTCACTTGTCATTTTTAACTTGTAGGCATAATTTTAGGTTCAGGGGTGGAAATAAAATATTGTAAAAGAAATAAGCTGGCCTGCTGTCATATGTGTGATTTCAGTTGGTTTTAAATCATGACATGAATTGTATGCAAAGTTTTTATGAGGGAGGGTGTCAGACTGTTGATAGTTAGTCTTTGTTCTGCCTTTAGTTAGTAACTGCAGTGCTGTTTTGATTTCTCACCTGAAGTTGTTCAGTTTTGCCATTTAGCAAAATTTAACAATAAAGTTTATCATTATTCTCTGGATTTGCAAACTTGTTTTTCAACTCCCTCTTTCATGGAACAACCAGCTAACTGGCATTTGAAAGGTACTGGTTCAAGCATTCTATCTAAGGCAAATGCCTGTCTCTGGCTTTACTTTTAGTGACTAGAGAAAATTTTGCCAACAAATTTGAATTGGATGTCTAAAAATTAAGCTCACCTTGACCTTCTGGTGGGTCTGTGTTGAAATCCACATCGTTGTCACGTAACAGCCTCTGCAGTTCTTCTGGCTCTAGATCTCTCAGGTAAAAGTAACAGTCACGTGGATGGTGAGCATGTAGTCCCCTGACAGTGCATTGATCTGACACAGGACAGTTCTAAAATGGAAAATGTTGAAATATGCTCTACCTGATTAAACTTAAACAATTTTAGTTCAATTTCCATCCTTATCAACTGAAAGTAATGTTGAGTCAAGGAAGACATCTGGTGAAAAAAACAGCTGGAAACAGGTCTCGAGTTCCTTTTGACTCTAACAACAAATTCCCCTCAGGTTGTTGAAATGTTGTTTTTTATCACTGACCAAAGTCCTATAAAGAACTACTCTCACCCAGAGGATCAGACTGTATGATCAATACAAGTCAAAGTCATCTCCTTGTTTTGAGTTCCACTATCATACACCATACAACACCTACAACTTAGGGTGGTACATATTCTCTAGGTTTAGTGTTTAGCCCTAATTCCTCAGCAGAAATAACGTGAAAAGACAAACTGGTCTTAATTGACTGCTTCTTTTAACAAGTCCTGTCTTTAACCAACTCATTTAAATAATAAAAAGAAGTCAAACCATAGGCCAAAGCCCATACAAGAGAGTCAGCCATCAATTTCAAATTAGTTCTCAAGCAAAGTAAAGCAAGTTATCTACCAAAGCAAAGAACTCTACTTTCTTCCAGTAAGAGAGTCTCAACTATCAACATCTAGTTTGTACCTGTCTTTCTGCATGAATAAAAGAGTTGTAGCAGCCACTGCAGAATTCATGTGAGCACATAGCACACTTGAAGTGCATACAACCACCCTTGGATAGGTCATACCTAAACTTGCAGTTGGGGCACACTGAAATTGGAAAAAAAATAAGTTGATACCCCTGACTTGCATAGAGCTAATGAGTGTATTACAATTAAATCATAACTTAGAGCTGTTTTTAATTCTTAATTACAGTACAACTACTGTTACTGTGTCACTTGGACAAAACTGACCAACTGCTTTACTGAGACAAATAATGATTCCAACTAGACTCAATGTGCCAGCTGGTGCTTAGGACCGAAAAAAGTAACAAAGAACACAAATTTAAACAACATTTATAGCTTGTTTCCTGTAAATATGATTGATCAGTTTTGTGCAGCTAGGGTGACCCGCGTAATACAGTCAAAATTCAATCTCCTTGAAAAATGGAAAACAATTTAAATGTTCACAGCATTGAAATAACAGTGCCTGCTTCATTTGTAGTCAAATCTCCTACGAAGTGACTAGTTTATCAGGTCTTATTGCTATCTATCACCCATTCTGATGAAATCTTGTTACTGATGTGTTCCAAAATCACAAAATATTTTCTTTACCAATTCCATTCCTCTTCAAGTGGGCTGCCAGTCCTGCTGCTTGAAAATCAGGATCATTTTGTTCCATCCATGCAGTAAACTGTTCACATGTGATACCCTCATGCTGGTCTTCCCACTAGAAGTATTTTAAAGTTATAAGGCAATCAATCTAGCCTAAGTTTAAAACAAAGTCCAGAGTGTAGGCATTCTGAGTAACAAAATTAAATGAAAAATACAGGAGTTATAACAGCTGATTTCGTATAATTGTCCCAGGTTTTTACTATAAGCAGAGAGATTGAAGAACTCTACAACTACCAGAATTTTCCACCTAAATTTTAATAGCCTGAGCTAACACTACTTATCTGCTGCTGCTCTTCCTACTGAAATCCCTGTTGTTTTCTGTGTTAGTGACTAACCTTTCAGCAACCAGAGCAGAGGACATCATTAAAATTTTGGTGATGAATTCTGCTCAGGGGGGCTTAAAAATCAGCTAAACTTTGATTGGTAAAAAAAAAAAAAAGGTGATGTTTGGCAAGTAAAAAGCTTTTAATGACTTATAAAGGTCTAGCATGTTTAGCTTCAAAAGCAGTAGTACCAGAAAGAGTGTGTAGGGGGCAGCCATGATAACACGATCATTATAAAACTATAATAATTATAGTGCTATTATCACTACTGTTGATACCTTTCGCTTGCATTTGAAACAGGCGTATTGGTGACAGTGAGGACACGTCATCTTCAAAATCTCAGGCGTTTCATATATGAACCCTGATGAGCACTAAACAAAACAAATACCAACCAGCTGAGTGTGACTAATGAAAAGGTCTGAATCACACCACTTTGTCAGAAACTATTGACATGAAAATATTATTTTATTTCTTCCCAAAATAGTTCAGTAAAAGGGGTAAATGTCACAAAAGAGTCCTACACAACAAGCATAAATGTTTCTTATTATAACATTTAAAATTTTCCAAGATTGCACCAAGATTTAATCTTAGGGTTATATTGACTACCTTTGCAGTGCTCCAGAACATATTTGAGAATCTTCAGTCATGTTTGGAAGTTTGTAGAATGTCTTAAATTTGTAATTTTTGGATGATGTCAAATCCTTTGGAAAATCGCTCCCATTTCACTAAGAAAAAGTTAACAAGTATAAAATACTTTGAGATACCAATTCTCTTATTTTTAGGGTGACCATAAAAACAATATCCACTCTGTAAACCATGCCTAAAGGGCCAGATTGAGGTGAATCGTTTGAGTTGAAGAGGTCTACAATTAATATTATTGTACACTAGAGGTCTACTTGTTAGTAAACTAAACTCTGAATCAAGTGGTCTAAGTTTTAGCATAATTAGGCTTCATCACAATTTCTGGAAGTTTTCACTTACTAATGGTGGGTCAATTGACACCCATAGCTTCTCTGCAGACTTAATTAGTGGCTCAATCTAGAAGAAAGCTACTGAACAGATGGGCATCATCATGGGTAAGATAATTTGCTGAAAAAAGGATGTAACTTACATGTGAGCACCACCTGAAGTTGGGCTCCTTTATGAGTGTTCTGTCTCGGAGCTTCCTTTGAAATAAGTCATGAGTTTCTTGATCAACCAGGCCACGGATCTTTATTAAAAAGGAAACAAAGCAATAAACGTTGTATATTTTTCATGATGATAAGAATTATGTTAACCACACATGGAGAAAAAGTACTAAATGCAGATAGGCTAAAACATTTTCTTCATTTTTTTTCAGCTAGACGGTGTTATTAGCTGATCTTGATAAGCTCATAGTGTACCACAGACAATGGGTTGGGGGAAAGTGCACATAAAAAGCCACCCCATTATATTATTTATTTTTATTTTCTACCTGCTTATTATATTTCATTGTTCAGCTTACCATGATGTCAAAATTATTGAAGTATTCTGTAGCTACAGCTTCATCATCTAAATTTTCAGGTTTCCCACAGACTGGACACACAAGGTGCATTATATTCTTGTCTCGAATAGTAATTGTGATAAACTGTGTGACACAATCTTGGCAAACACTGTGTTGACAATGAAGGAATGTGATCATCTATGAAAAAAGAAAAACCTTGTGAAGCTCAGACCCTGTATCACTAGGACAGTACAACTGTAGGTATATTCTTCCTCTAAAAGTTTCTAGATAAGTGAACACCTGAAAATGGTGGAAAACTCTATTGAGCAGATGCAGGTACCAAATTTAGTGCTTTTGTGACAATAAAGTTGTAAAAATCAGAAAATATGACAAAATTCACATACTGGCATGTGACAGGTCATCAGCTGGCCAATATGAGCACTAATAGGACAGTGTACTCATATTGCTTCTTTCCCGCAATCATTGAGTAAATGAAAATTATTGCTGTTATTAGAGATTTCAATGCATTTGAACTAGAAACTACATTAGCTACTTTCTAAATTTTCATTCTGCAATCACTACCAAGATCTCATCTAGTTATTTTCCTTACCATCTGCCATAATAAAATTCTTAAAATATTAGTTGGAGAATTTGGTATTGGATCAACTAATAATCCCCCTATTAATGTTCTTCTACATTCCCATCACTTTTTGGCTTGATATTGTATTTCTTGCAAGGAAAAATTCTGTCTTAGACAACCATCTTTAACTCCTATAAGTGACCAAGACAGAATTTCTCCTTACAATACCAATACAATATCAACCTGATGAGAAAATATCAATTTGGGGATAATTAGTTGATCTAATACTAAATTCTCTCTACCAACATTATAAGAAGTGTATGGTTGAAAGTAAGGAGAATTACAAATTTGACCTGGGAGTTAAAGGGTTAAAACACACCTGAGTCCTAGGCCTTTCATCTGTGCACAGTGGGCACTCTTGTTTGAGAAAGCGTAAGCAAGTTCTGTAATCCCTACAACCGCGGGCAGCTGTAAGAGAGTCTTCCACTTCAAAGCCATCATCAATTAATTTGATTACAATATCTGCCCTTCCCCAGGATGAAACATCTTTCTCTGCCAAAATGGCTCTAATACGTCTCTGAAAGGAAAATCACCATAAGTTAACTCATTAACAATTCACTCACAGAATAATAAAATTTTAAATACTCTTCATGATGTAGGTATATTAATGTTCAACAAGCAACTACAAACTGTATGTATTTATTGTGTCTAAATACTGAAAAGGCCTACCCAACAACTTTGAATACTTACACTTGAAACACTCACTACTTTTTAATTAAGATGTGAACTTTTGTATTGCTCAATCCTTGGAGGAATTTGCCATCCTTACTATTCCTTTAATTTGAGTTGTTCTGTTCAAGTTCTGCCCTGTGATTGATTCTCATGGTCTGAGCAAGATTGGTTTCTGTAAACTTACCATAAATTCTTCAAAATCTAAACTTACGTCTCTGTCTTGACCTCCGTCTTTGACAATTGCTTCAAAGTTAGCTCTGTCTTGAGGGGACTGATTATCAGTCTGTCTTGTCAAAGCCCTGAAAATATCATCTTGAGTTGCTGTATCTGGAAGACAACTGTTGAGGATTCTTTGTAACATTGGCTGCAATGCCATTTTTTCAAGTTCAAGTATTGCTTTCTCAGTATTGCCCTCAGCAGTATCCAGAGCACTTATACAATCTGTTTTGGCATAAACACCAGCCTGCTGTAATTCTTTTACCTGTTTAGCAAAAGCAAAATATCAAATAAGGGAAGCGTTACAGTTCCTTCTGTCTGCACTGAATAACTTCCATGTTAAAGAACAACTAGCATACCAAAATTAATTAAGCTGCCCTTTAAACCTCTGCCAAAATATTCAAAGGGAAACAAACATCGCTAAAACATTCCAATACAAATGATATAAATTTAAGAAGTTTGTGTAAAAAGCGCCCTGAATGTCTAAATATTCTCATACACAGGTGTTAAATTCTACAGTTTTCCATAACCTTTTACAACAAATTTCCAATTTTTTTCCACAGGCTGTGCCTACTTTTCCGTCACTTTGCATATTTTCCAGAACCACATTACCTAAACTACCTAGTTTTATCAGGCTGGTTGGTTTATCAAACAAAAGTAATCACCATCTCAGTTAATAGTAACAAAGCTCCAATTTCTGTAAGTCTTGAAAATGTTTTGAAAGGAACCCTCAAAAAAAAAGTTCCATTCTAAAATTTGATATATTACACTTCAGTTGAACTGAACACCAAACTCATTGTGTCATACATTAAGATGACCAGCACAAGTTATACATCGGTTAATCAGGTGAGGATTGAGGAAAGAATTTGCAATGTGATGTCACGCATACCACAGCTCACATAAGTACCTTCTTCTTGCGGTTTTCAATGCATTTACTGGCTGCACGGGAAACTTCCCCAGTGCATTCAATTAAAGCTTCTCTGGCTTCTTCAGGGCTAACATTCCCAATTTCCTGGGAGTTTTCTGGTACACTCAGCTCCACCATGACTCTATGAATTAAATCATACCACATAGTCTGCAGCCAATGGATAGGGCCTTGACGATCTTCTATGCCGAGGATGGATGCTATGTTCACCTCCTCTGCTGTAAAGCCCTCTGTTTCTGCTGCCTATGATGATCAAAATACTTAGATGGACCAGGATTGTAAAATCACAATTATGACTATCATATTCTTTGCTGTGATTAATAAAACCATCCTCAACAATATCAAATAGAAGAATGTCGTTGAGAATTCTGAAGTGAAAGGCTTCAAAAGCTTGTGAAATTTTTCAAAGGAAATTTGATAGCTGAAAAAATTGAGATACATGTATATCTATAATTGGCCATCAGTGTGATTAATTTCCTCCATTATGAGCATCATAAAGTATCCTTATTAACAGAACTCTGCTAAAACACTAGCAATTATGTCAAATAGGAAGTATACAAAACCTTTGTCAGATAAGAAGTAATATGTCATTGATACTTTGTTTCAATCCTGGACATAGACAATTTTCTAGGATCAAAACAATATCAAGAATACATAAACTGAATGCATATTTTACCTTTAGCCATTCAACATAACGAGCTCCAGCTATGTAAATCTCTTCTTGATGCCGACGGGAAGTTTCATCTACTGGTGTGGGAACTGGAGGTGGGAGAGGGGAGTTTCCAGTTGCTGCTGGATTGATCTGTTGAAGAAAAAAGTGTTCAGCAGCAATTATACAACAGTAGAGAGTGAAGGCAATTATATGAAAGTAGAGAGTGAAGGCACAAGTCTCAGTAACAGTAAACATGCTTTTGAATGTTTCAGCAATGGTACTATCTGTTTCAGACATAGTTTATGCTTTTCTTTTTTTTTTGCTTTTTTTTACTTAACTGTTTTATTGTTATTGTTTTTTTTCTAATGAAGACAAATCATGTCTTTGCAACTCTTTAACCCCTTAACTCCCAAAGTGATCAACATGCAACTTCTCTCTACAATATTCATACAATATCCAGCAAACAAGTAATGAGAATACTCAAACTTATCAGGTCGTTGTTATCTTGATACAACACTAAATTCTTGTAACTGATTTACAAACAAATGTGTAGCAGCTAGAGAGAAGAATTAATATTCACATCTTGAGAGTTAAAGAGGTTAAAAACAAAAGTTAGAAAAACTACACCTTATTTAAGTGAACACAATGTAGCTTTTACCTTTGTTCTGACTGACTATGATGACTTAAGTTTTGTTTTACCACATTTAAATGAAATTACCTTTGAATTTTTTCAAGAAGGTGGAGAGGAAGGCTGCTAAGTAATTGTTCAAATCAAATTATTTTAACCCTTTCACTCCCATGAATGACCAAGACAGGATTTTCCATTATAATATCAATACAATATCAAGCAGGAAACGTGTTGAGAATAAAAAATGTATCCATTAGGAGATTATAAGTTGATTCAAAACCAAACTCTCAGAACTAACATCATTAGCATTGAATGGCAACCAGTAAGGAGAATTCCTAATGAGATCTTAGGTGTGAAAGAGATAACAGGAGAATATTAAATTTCATACCTCTGGAGCTACACCTGTTGCACCAAATTGATCTACAAATGGAGGTGGGGGGACAAATCCATGTGGATCATGAAGCACATCAGGGTATCTGGGAAAACCAGGGTTTACACCTGGATAAACCATTCCAGTTTGATTGAGAATTCCCCCCTGGCCTGGACTAGTCACACCTGGAGGGGCAGGACTTCTCAAAGGAGGACCTCCTGGTACAAATGCTGCTGCCTCCCAAGGCTGGCCTCCTGATGGATTGGTGTTCCCAAGGAGTGGTCCAGCAGGTGGTCCCATGGGGTTTCCTCTTTGTGGTGCTTGCCAATTGACTGGGCTCCCTGTTGGTGCTGCAGGAGAATTTGGCAGGTCTGGTTTTCTGGTTAGCATAGTTGCAGCAGGGATTTGTTGACTGGTATGCATGGCCAGATTAGTAACAGTGCGGGGTGGATATGCTTTCTCCGTCTTTGATTAAAAGAATAGATAATAATAATTAATAAAAATAGTCTCTACCAGAGAGTGTAGATAACAGTCACAGATCCACACAGTAGAAGTACATAGTAGCTTGCAGTCTTGCTATTAAGGCTGATTTCCTTACTTCAGTATCCCATTTCAGAATTTTGACCTTGAAACACAGTGTTTGTTACACTCCAAAGTACCTTACTTTCAGGAAAAGAAAAAATATGTAGTAGAATTGATTACTTGTTTTAATCTGTGAGTGGTTTATTGAATAATGGTTCATTCACAAAGGAAAACACAGCACCACTTCAACTGCAAATTTAAGACAAATTGTAAATAAGATTACTTTTATTACTATAAATAATAAAAAAAAACTAAGGGAATAGTTTTAATTCCTGCTTGCTCCTTAAAAAGGAAAATGTCACCTTTAGCTTACTGAATTTATTTGAGGAATAGCTGTGAAGCATTAAGAAAAACTATTTTTTAGAAAATGAAATTTAATAAAAACTTAACATAACTATGAAACAACATTAAGTTACCAGGTTGAATTCTTACCAGATTTCTCACAGGCTTTGTCTTCTTAGGAGGTAGTGGAGTAGTTCTTGATTTAAAACAAATCTCGCAAATTGTTCTATTTCTATTGATATATGTGCAGAATTCACATGCCCAGTGCTGGTCAGAGTCTGTTGAAATGTGAAATATAAACACCTTACTACATGGTTTAACATAATTCATAATACAAGCAGATAGTCTGTGAGTTGTGTGGTCCTTTTCTGACCCCATGGGGGAGGGGGGCAAGCAAAGGGAGAAGAAGAGCAAAGAAAAATACAAACAATGAGCTAAGTGTCCACTAATATCAATCACAATTAAAGATCGGGATTTGTCAATCAGCTTTGATGTTTATTCCCCAAGTTTTTAGCTACGGTTATCGGCACAGTTTGAGCCAGAGGAGAGTAAAATTACAGTTACTGTAACTGTTGTAGTTGGAGTTAACACGGAGTTTGTGTTCACTGAGTTTGAGTTATGCGGTAGTAAATGATTGAACTTAAAAATGAGGTCGCATCCAGGAGAAATTGGATTTAGTTTGAGCCAGAGAACATTTGAGTTAACCCTTTATCTCCCAAAAGTGATTGACATAAAACTTCTCCATACAATATCCATACATTATTCAGCAAACAGGTAATGAGAATATTCAAACTTGTCAGGTAGAAGCTGCTATCTTGATCTAGCTTCAAGTTCTCATAACTAATTTACAAGGAAATGTGTAGCAGCTAGAGGGGAAAGTTAAGAATCAGATCTTAAGAGTTAAAGGGTTAATTGAGCAAGTTTGAGGTACTCATGCACACACCTTCGTCTGTGAAAAAAGTATTGGCTCTTGTTGCTGACATGACATTCTCACTTGCTTGTGACTCATGAAATTGATCTGTACTTCTTGCTGGATCTTGAGCAGCCAAACCAGGGGAAGGGAAATTTCTTACATCAACAGACCCTTGCCTCTGTGGTGATGCTGACTGGTTTTCAGGCTTAGTGTCAGATTTTGCTGGAAGAGGTTTCTTACAAAACGAGCAGATCTTATTACCACCAGAGTTTAGGAAGAAGCAGTTAGGACAGGACAGGGCTCTGTCTTCCTCTGAACTGGTAGGTGGTGTACTTATTGGTGTCCTTGATTCAACTGGCGTTTTGAGTTTTGCTGTCTTTGGCTTGTGTGGTGGCAAGGGAGGTGGGGCTTAACAGACAGAAATTAAGAATTACTTCTGTCAATAATGAATCAAATACTGTTCACCTCAGGTGAACTATTAAATTAAATGTGAAAATTTAAAGTCTGTTCAAAAATCATAAATCTGAATTCAAGAATGGCATTTATGGCTATGGTGACTTGTGGAAAATGACCTCTAATTTTCCAAACTTTATCATAATTCTTAAATTAGCACTCTAATCAAAATATCACTAATTGAGTATTCTCTGTTGTGACTCAGGCTGTTATGATGATTGTCTTTGTTATTAATGGCCACCGTCTTTACTATGGTTTTTGTTTTCAACGCTTAAGTGTAAACAGCCCTAATCATAATTTTTGAAAAGGTCCTGTTTGGAAAAACCTCTCTAAAAAAACATCTTTTGAGCAAAGAACAATTCATACCCTCATCTGCTGTGTAGTTTCTATCATTTTCATCAATCCCCCCCTGAGAACTTCCCTGAGTTGTGCCAAAAGATGGTGGCATAGGAGGCGGCCTCAATATTGGTCTTGTTTGATCCTGGATTTGATTTGATCCTGGAGAGAAAAATATCAACATAGGCTAAACTAACTCAAATCTGCATTCACAGTACAAGAAATTGGCTAAATTTGGGCCCACACATTGTTTAAGACCAAATTGAAAGTATTTTCCTGTTCCTTTGGAATCTAGCTCATCCTAGGAATAAAGACTTGATGAAATTCTTCTGTATAATGTATCAGAATCAATGCAGGCTTCCAAAGATAATTAAAGCTGTAAGATTTACAGAAGAAATCAATGGCACCTTGTATTTCTTGGTAATTTCCATAAATACATCTTACAAAACTCAATAGTTGAAACATGATAATTAACAATTGATTCAAGGAATTAAAAGCTATATCTAGGCCTTTAAATCTGCTCCCATCTCTATACAACCATCAAGAACATGCATTGTGGAAGGACCTCACCTCTTATCCCAGTTTGTGTGGCTGGTTGTTGAGTTACAGCTGCAGAAGAGGGAGGTCGGTGTATGCCTGTGTTCTGTTGCACCTGAGGAGTGGAAGTTACAGGTTTTGGGGGTATTGAGGGTTGACGAACTTCCTCATAAGGTTCAGGTGTTTTAGGAGGTTGCTTGATGTTTCGCCTTGGCGCAGGTACAGGCCTTGGTCTAGGTGTGGGTCTGCAAAAATGAAAAATGCATCACACTCTCTAAAATTTAGAAGACTTATGCATAGACAATTTGGAAAAATAGTTATAATGACTCTTCAAACATTTGTTAATCCATTCAAATGAATCCATTACTCAGTCAGACTACATCAGTCTTGAGAACCTGGCCATCAAAAACTCTAATTGATTTGATATCATGACCATGTGATCCCTTCAGTACAAAGATAAGTTTTTTTTTTCTACCAAGATGCTCATCTGTATCAAACACTTATCAAAGCCTACAGAGCAATAAGACCTTCCTTTTAATTAGTTTTTCAGAGTTATCATTGATAATGATTGCTGTCATTCCCTTTGTAACAAACTTTGCCTAACTTCCAGGTTACCCAAGAAATAGGCAAACATATATCTTGTAGAGGACGTTAACACATGTTTGATTCTCCTTTGATTTACATCTTACCAGGTACATTAGGAAGTCAAAATATTCGTGTAAAATATCAGGATGTGGAAGTTACAAATAAAGCTTCCAAATCCAGATATGATGTGAGTTAATTTTACTTTTAAAAATATATCCTGTTTGTTTTATCACTTGAACATGAATAGCTTTTGTGAGAATCTTGCATTTTTGTTTTGTCTTGTTGTTTAAGCATATTCAAAAATAATTTACAATCCCTCTCTGATGTTAATGTCATGTTACCCAATGGGAACTGATTTTCACGGAGTTCCCCTCAAAATCACCTTCAATACCCTTGGATCTAAAATTAAAAAGGACTGTCTAAATAGGGGACAACTACCATAGCCTAAGGAAAGACATTCCCTCTATAGACATCTTTGTCAGAGATCCCAATTAAGACAAACTGTATGGGTTTTTCCCTAAGGAGGAAAACATTCCTGAGGAAAATACACTGTTCTGATTGGCTATAATGACTACCCTCTATTATTGAAACTGAGTACTAATTAAGTCATAAACAGTAAGTAGTAACTCATAGCAGACATGAAAAGCCAGTTATAGCTTTTATATAATCGTTTGTTACTGTTAAAAGAATGGCTTTAACTGAAAACTTTACCAAAGACCAGGATAACAATTTTGCATATTAAATGTAGCAACGTGTGCATGTGCTGTTGTTGTGTATTTTGTGTAGTTTAGTGTTGACATTTTCTTTTTTATTTATGAAAACATTTCATCAATGGCTAGTCTGTTTCTTGAATTTTGTCATAGTTTTGATTATTTGGAAACAGGATTTTGCATAGTCTGTCTGTAATCATACTTGTTTGCAAATCTGACTCCTGCATCCTAGCCATTCAGTTTTGATAATCACCTGTATGATCATAGACCAAATTGGACTCCACTCAGTCAGGTCTCTCAGCTGAATACAGGTTCATTTCATGGTGAACATTGGAGGACAAAAGTGAGACCTTGGCTAGTGTCAGCTTCATATAGTTTTCAGAATACCATGAATATTCAAAGACAATGTTGTCAGTGTATATTTTCTGTGTTATCAGTGACTGAAATGCAGCAAAAAGAACTCTCCCCATACCTTATTCCATTAGTTGCATTTGTGGCTGTATTAGACAGAGCAGTTCTCTGATTCTGTGGTACTGGAGAGGAAGGAGCAGCAGTAGCAGCAGCACTGCTTGCTGGCCGATCTGTTGATGGAGTGCCTGTGTCTGTGGGTAGCTGGGTCCTGACATGATGTTGACGAGAAGCATGCTTGTGATACAAACCATCACATGGAACACAAAAAGTGTCTTTACACTCTTGGCACAACTTAGTTGCAATAGATGCTCCACATATACGACAGTCAGCATTAGAGGAAACCTGGGTATGAGAACCCCCACTTGCTTGGGCTTGGTCAATACCATCTTCAGCATCTTCATATTCAGAATCTCCTTCACTTTCAGCATTCCGTTCAGAAACTTGCTCTTCAACTGTGGCCTGTTCTTTATGCTAAAAAAGTCCAAAAATTATATGACTGGTCTAAAAAAACTTGCACAGCCATCTCAACCAATCAAATGCAAAATTAATACTTATCCCAACTTGGTCACTCATGTTTTCCTGTGCTTCAAGCAGGTTGCCTGTTTTTACTTTGAGTTCTCACTGTTTAATGATGATGTTAACTTTTTTCCTGATAGGTCTTTAAGTTTTAGTTTTTCAATGTTCTATTAAAAACTGCTCTATCCACTGTTGCATTTAGTTTCCTTTTCTGACAAAATGACGCTATATTGAGTTCTCCTGATAAGTCTTTTTCAGCCAAGAATGCCAGATCCATTCCTAGTTTCCATAGTAAGGAGATCCTTGTAACATGGCTAACTCCCTCTAAATGGAAATTATTTACTTAGCAGTTTAACCCCCCTTCACAGAACCTGGTACCTTGGGTGGAGAGACATGAATCATAAGAATTAAGACAATTTTGTAAAAATATTACAAAAAATCTCCGAAACAGAACTTTAAGCTGAATCTCTACAAACCTGAATATTTTCCATTAATATTCTGCACTACCCTTTATGACTTAAATTTCAAGCTTTGAGGAGGAGTACAAGTAAAGTCACAATACACCCAGTGATTACTTCCCTCCCAAAATTATTCTGTTGATCAATAGAGTGAAGGTGAGGGAAGAGTGTCAATTTACCAAGATAGGTCTAACAAGTATTAACTCTTTCAAAAACAAAACATCTCTCTTTCTCTTCTCTTGGCTGACAAAACTTTTTTCAGCTGACTCTTCTACCTGTTTTAGCAACCCCTTATTGAAAACTTAATTGGAAAGTTTTACTGCTGGCTGGGGTCTCAATCAGAAACTCAGTAGGCAACAAAAGTGAAGTACCGGTATTAAATGAAGAACAAATAACTTGCAACAAAAGCATAGCCTCCCAATTTCAGACTTTGCTCTGTCGCAAAATGCTCCCCATCCTTTTAAAGAATTTGAGATATGTTCCTTATAAAAAGTAAATGGCAGAGTTATGTGAAGCTGCCAAATTTCTCCTTCTAATGACCTCTTTGACATTAGGGTGAAAATTGTTAGCTTGGAGAAACATCTTAACACACAACTTTTTCACTTCATTTGCAGTTAATGAGACTTCCTTACAAGAGCCCCTGGTGGATGCTGTTTCCAACAAATTTAAACACCACTATTTCAAAGTCTTTCCATCTGCAATCCAAGATTTCTCAGTCTCACCTTTTCTTGTGGTGGAATGGGGGACCTTCCCCCTGGTCTCCGTGGTGATGGTGTGGGTGGAGATCGGGGAGTTGGGTTCCTTGCACTGGTTGGAGTTGGCTGACTAGGTCTTGAAACACTAGATTCTGTGCTTGCCAGAGTAGGAAGCGGAGGCCTAGATACCCTTGGTGGAAAACGCTGTGGATATGATCGTGGAAAGGTGGCCTGAAACAACCTAGGAAGTTCCACTTCTTCCTGTGGGACTGGTGGGTCCATCTCATAAAATGGATGCTTGTTTACCAGCAGAGTGTCAATTTCAAACCTAGCAAAGAACAAATCTGTTGCCAGGTCTTTCAATTTGACAACATTAGGCTCAGGTACATTTGCAGGGAAGGCAACGCCATCAGAAATATCTTGTGTGTATCCCATTTGTGATAAAATATCACGACTACCAATGAGTCGACCAACATGAAGTTGGACGAGAGAACTCGTAAACTTCACATTCCGCCAGTAAGGAGGACGATTTTCCTTGATCAAATTGGAGGCATATTTTTCTAAGATGCCTAAGCCTTGTGTTAGATGAAGGAACCGAGGTTTCTCCTAAAATGGAAAAAAAAATGCATTTTAACCGCAAAACCTACAACTGGAATACTCACAATATAATTCTATACTTACTGCATTAGCCTCAAACACTCTCCAAATATCAAGTTCAATATACTTTCTCTCAATATCCACATCCATATTCAAGACCAGTGAGCACTTCTCCAGCAGTGTCTGCAGAGAAGGATCAGTCATCTGCACAAATTCCCTAACTACATTTGCCCTGTTCATTCTCAACTGAGCTTCTTTCTGTTCTTCAGTGAGATGGTAAAGTCTCGCTGCATTTTCCAGAGGAGTTTGCCTTCTTCTGACTCTTATATATATAGTAGGTTCTTCAACATGATTGGATTGTTCTGATGGCATGTTTACAGGCCCTGAGGCAAATCAAAGATCAGAGCAACGTTTATTCTTAGTGTCAATGTAAAAGAGTAAAAATAATAATTAAAAGTCCAGTCATACTGGTAATTTAATTTAAAAAAAAACATCTTTATCACAGGAAAAATGAAGCTGTTTGAAACTCATCTCATATGAGATAAAGTGATCATGGCAATATCACAAATTGATGAAAGCATATTTCATGAACTATTACCAAAAAATTGTCAGAAACAGCAAGCATCTCTTTCATTTTAGCAAATTAATAGAATTTGAAGAATCACAAGAAATAAAAAGCATGATTAATCTTCCGCTGAGAAAACAGAGATCCCTACATGGGTAATAAAACAATAATGATTACTTAATTATTTTAAGGAGGTTATTAGAGTAGTTGGTTATGGTCAATACCAATTTATGTGAAAAGCTGAATTATACACACATTTTGGATCTTACTTATGATCTATTGGAGGACAGACAGATAGATGACTTCACCATAAACAACCTTTTCCTTTTCCAATTTAAAGAAACAAATAGATTCCATGTTTCCATGGGTCTGAACAGAAATGGATCACACAAAAGGTCAAAATGCAGTAAGAATGTCAGTGACACACTTGGCTGTGCTTTGTGTGCCACTTTTTTGTTCTTACCATGTTTTGACGTCATCTGTGATTTGTTATTGACCAGATATATGGCAACATGGAACCTTTTTTTTAACTTTGTACATACTAAATAATGAAATGCTAGAGGCTTAACAAATTTGTGGTAACTAAAATTAAAAAATAGCTAAGCAATGCCTACAAGATAAGAAGAAGTATAACACTGAAAGCTCAGAAAAATGCATGACTTGGTAAGGATATCCAGCACTTACTCTGCACAAGTCTCTCCCCAGGATTCCCACTTCTTGTCAGGGTACCATCCGGTGCATCATAAGCTAAACCACCATTCCATGGAGCAGGAGACTCAGATAGAGAAGTACCTAAGTCAATGGCTGCATTTCCATCAGAAAGATGGTTTTGTTGTCTTGGAAAGTTCCTACTTTCCATTATCTTCAAATTTATACAGTTGTGTGAAAATTGTCTGTATTGTTAAGACAGGTCATGCAAAACTGTCTATTAATGTGATTATCAGTAAGGTAGATTTGAACTCGTGAACTTGTGATTTGAACTAATGGTGTTGCCAGATTAAAAACAGAATACTCCACAATCTTCTTCATATAGGTTCTTCATTGATCTGTCCTCAACTACAAAATAATTCCAAAAAGAGTGGTTTTTAAATTCTCTGAGCACTAATTGGTACAGACCTTAAGGTAGTAGAGATCCCAAAAACAGATTCCTTGAATTCTCTTGACTTGGGCCATTCCCTTATACGTGGAGCCAGGAGAAGAAGGAAACAGGCTATTTTCCATATATCAAAGCAAGACTTGTTTGAAGACCTGCTTCTTATGGTTTTGAGTCCTTTAACTAGTTTCTTAGTCATTCTGTCATGGAGTTATATGTTCATCTATTCTGGGAGTTTAAGGGTTGACACAAAGCAGATTTACAACACTACTCTGACATTACCTCTTCACCTCATTTTGATGATAACTCTCCCTTGGTTTGTTGAAACCTCAGGACAACCCTAAAACAGACAATCAGACTTCAAGACCTGATTATGCTTAATATGTGAAGTGTCAGCTCAACAGATAAACCAAATAAATGCAGTCCTTGGGATCTATAATCCTTCATTATATTCTGAATCTTAACTTCCTGGTTTCACTGATTACTGACTCTTAACATCCTACGCTGGAATCTACATCCCTTAAAGAGCCTTTTGCACAAAATCTTAATTCCTTGTGATTATGATTATGACTGTTGAGTAATTTGCATGAACTAAGTCTAAACAACATCACAGCATAGAACAGGAGAGATGGTGAGTTTTGAGCTTGGTAAAGAAATAGAGAATTCTGAGTCCCCATGAGGAATCGAATCTCAGACCTTTGAATTCCACACTGTGATGCTCTACCACTGAGCCACAGAGACTCTACTGAGAGTGAGGTCTATTACAAAGTTCATATAAGACGTGTCCTGCGAACTGCTTCGAGCAGCAATGTCAATAACATCGTGTTTGTAAATAGAATAAGAGAGATGCTATTAAAGTTTTCCTTATTTTATTTACAAACATGATGCCGTTGACATTGCTAATCCTAGCAGTATGCAGGATGCATGTCATATGAACTTTGTAACAGACCTCACTCACCATAGAGTCTCTGTGGCTCAGTGGTAAAGCATCGGAGCATGAAAACTGAATGTCTGAGGTTTGATTCCTATTGGTGTCTCACAATTTCTTCTTTTTCTCGTGCTCATGACAAGATGAAAAACATCTTTCTCAATATTATAACATGTTCTCAATTTGTTGGCCAAGTTTTAAGACTATAAATTGACATATTCGTTACTTAGACTAGGAACCTACATGACTTTAGTTGGTTTTGAGAATGAATCAAGTAAATAGAAGAGTGTTTGAGTCATATATTTCCATATTGTTGCACACAGTTTAAGGAAATTGAAATCAGAGTTCAAAGTTTTCTGCCACTTGCATCCCAACAATTACAAGGTGGACCTCAGTGGCCATATATTCTGTAGTTGCTCCATTTAAATTAACATAGCTAACTTTTCTTAGTACATCAACTCTTGTTATTACAGTGGTCATGAAGTTGCAAGGTATTCTACATTTAATGAAAATGACTGCACTCAATTATCATCACAAAAATTTAAGTTGTATGGATGTGAAATACCTAACAACTGACACATGCACTTAGAACATGCACTCGTGTTAGGCTGTAACAGGTAAAACAGGGTAATTTAGTATTATCAACCAAGTTGATAATGTAAATTGGCCACCCTAAAGAGTTTAAAAGTGACATGTCAAGTGTTCACCCTTTGTCAATTGCTCTGATGAAGGGCTAATGCTTGAAATGTCAGCTTTTAAACTCTTTATGGTGACTCATTTACATTATGAACTGGTTGATAATACTAAATTACCCTGTTTATACCTCACTTTTCAAGTCATGAATACATTTAATTGCAGTTGCCATGAACTGGCTGGGTATTCAAATTCTTGATAACTGGTCAGGTTGCCTGAGAGTCATCTTGCCTAAAGTCATGTGGCCTGAAACCCGAGTTATGTCGCCCAAAATTTGAGTTATGTCACTCAAAAAAAAAAATTAAGTAACCTGAAGAAACAAATACTAAAATTATCAGAATTTCTGATTGTAAATAGGCAATAAAGTTAAGAAATTTTTATCATTAAAGCACTCTTTGTTTCTGACAACACCATGAACATTCTAAGTGTTGTTCATTCCAAACAACAAAGAGAAATGTTGTTTGTTTCCAACAACAAAATGAAGCATTGTTTGTTTTGGAACTTTACCTGTAAGTTATGCTGCATCCATGCATTTGTTTTCATAGAGGCCAACATTGCTTCCCTTTGTTGTTAGAAATAAAAACCACTTTTAGAGTTGTTCTTCAAACATATTTCTCTTTTGACCATAGGATTGATTTCTATGTAGTCAGTCTTTATGGCTTAGTTAGAAACCAAGAAAAAGTTTCTCAAGCTTATGAAATGTCTGTGAGTAAGAAACTATTACATACCAAATGAACAACGCTTCATTTTGTTGTTGGAAATGAACAATGCTTCCCTTTGTTGTTAGTAACGCACAACGTTTTTTGGAATTGTTTCTCAAACATATTTCAATTCCAGCCATATGATCAATTTCTGTGAAGTCAAAGTCTTCATGGTATTGTTGGAAACCAAGATAAAGTTTCTTAAGATTACACAACGTCCATAAGTAAGAAATGATTACATACCAAACGAACAACGCTTCATTTTGTTGTTGGAAACGGACAACGTTTCCCTTTGTTGTTAGGAAAGAACAATGCTTTTAGAATCTTCATGGTGTTGTCAGAAACAAAGAGCACTTAAGTGATAAAAATTTCTCAACTCTATTGCTTATTTACAGTCTGAAATTCTGATCTTTTCAATATTTGTTTCTTTAGGCGACTTGACTCTTTTTGGGGGCGACATAACTTAAATTTCGGGTAACATGACACAGGTTTCAGGCGAGATGACTCTCGGGTGACCTGACTGCAAACCGAATTCTTCAGTAATTTCCACAATAGCCTTGCTAAAAGCTAATAGAAATAGCTTTGCTTAAAGCCAGTAGACTCACTATAATTACGTAGTGGTGGAGATAGAGTTTACGCGCAATAAACAGGAAGAGAAGAGTGAGCCAAACAGTGCATCCAGTCTTAGGTTCGATTGATTTTGCTATAGATTTATTTATCATGTACCGTGTGGGCAGTAAGACAACTCACCCATGCTTCTTTGGCTACTCAAAGCAAAAGTATTTGAGATCAAAAACAGTAACACATTTCACTCAATCTAAAGCTTCTGGAAAGCCATTTCCATTTTATATATACAGCCGTTTATGTGTAACCTTATTTTGAAGACTTCAACTAAGTTTGCGTCGATACGTAATTGTGACGACCAACTACGCTAGCTAAATAACAATTCCATCTCCCGGTATAATTAAAAGTTCAGAATTTTACCAAATAGATTGAAAAACCTACTTACCTACAGTTTCTCTTCTCTGTAATTCTAGAAAACGCATTGTCTCACTTTCTCAGAATGTGGGATAATTCCCGTACCCCCCCAAAACGGAAAAGAACCAATCACTAACGAAACTTTTCGGGGAACCCCCTTTCTCACCAACCTAACAAACAATTTCCGTAAGCAGCGGAAATAGCAGAAAAACTTCAAAATGCCAGGTGACCTAGAGCCAGCGGTCTCTTTTATACCTCATGTAAATCACTCCAAAACCTCGGAAATTTGTCTGAAGTCTTTTTCCATGAAATTTTTCTCAATTTCTCCCACGATTTTTCATTTTCTTTTGGGTATTGTGTCGTATTTGTCTTTTAACTTAATGTGCAAATGGCTGAACAATCCAGCCATTCATCAGGAACCCATCAACTTATTGCAAACAAATGTCGTGGCTACCTTAAAAGAAGGCTCAAGTTTTTGGTGCACAGGTGACAGCAAATCCAAACGAATCTGCAAATTTCGTCACCTTTGTTACCAACCAGTTCAAGATGACTTCCTTTTCTTTCACGGCCCAGATACGGTTATCGATGGAGTGCCTGAAAACCGCTTCGATCCAGCACTTTTGGACTTGTCCTCTGTTGATGATCACAACACCCAATACTTCAATTATGTCGACTATCCGGTTTCTGCATTGGATACCTTTCCTAACATCACCATCATAGATGACTTAAGCTTAATATTTAACAGATTCAATGCAGACAATATTATGCACGTTATCCATGACGATCTCCTCCCTCTGTTCCATACAATGAGACAGTTTTCTTGGAGTAAGCCTTCAATTGATCTTGGATACAGATTAGTTATGATGGAGGGATGGAATGAAGGGACCTATTTTGAACTCTACAAGTTATTCACAGACAAACCACCACTACTCAAAAGAGATCTTCAAAAGTCAAAGGGATTGGTTTGTTTTCAGCATGGTGTTGTTGGCATCTCCAAATATACAACATGGTATCAGTATGGGTTTAAGAAACCACAGGGAGCCCTACCTCGTACTTCATTAACAGGACAATATGTGCGACAGTTTGTGATGTTTATTAAAAGGAGGTTGGGGCTAGACAGTGGATTAACACATGCATCCGATTCTTCTTATGTTGTACTTTGTTCGAGGGAACACAACCGTTTAATAATCAATGAACTGGATTTGTCAATGGCAATTTCCAGGCATTTTGATAAACAAGTCATTCATACTAGCATGACAAAACACTCTTTTAAAGAACAGGTCCAACTTGTAAGCAGAGCCAGTGCACTTATTGGAATGCATGGCTCAATCTTGATTATGGCAATTTTTCTACCACCCAATGCAAAACTTATTGAATTGTTCCCATTTGGTGTCAATCCTAATCACTACACTCCTTACCATACCTTGTCAGATTTACCAGGGATGGACATTATTTACAGTGCTTGGAGAAATGAAATTGAAGAGAATACAGTAACGTACCCACATGAAGCACCAGAAGTTGGTGGAATTGTTCATCTCAGTGACGAGGAACAAGTACAAATCAAGACAGCAAAAGAAGTTCCAAGGCATCTATGCTGTAGCAACCCTTACTGGCTTTATAGAATTTATCAAGACACCATTGTTGACATAAAATCACTACTACTTGTTATGCAAACAATAGAAAAGAAGCAAAGAATGACATCTCTAAGGCCAAAACCTGCTTATGACCACAATCTGTATCCTAGTAAAGTTATCAATGTGACTTGTCAACTTCCATCAGAGGAGTCACAGCCAGCATTGTGGTTGTCATGGAAACAACCCTTAAATGTACCTTTTATTGCTGATAGCAATGTGAAATATGAGGTGTGGATTCAACCCAATGAACAAAATAATTATGTGGCATACATACTTGACATGACAGAGTATATATTTACTGAAAATTTGCTGAGAAACACACTATATAATGTTTGGGTCAGATGTATTGTCGATGAAAACTCCGGGCCTTTTGGTAGTGTTACACACTGTGAGACAAACTGACTTCTGGTTGAAGCAGTTGGGATTGCAAGGCTATATATCATTTATTTTTATATATTTTGTTTACTTTGATTTATATTTTGGTGTTATGTGGCTCTTGCATTAGAACAAATGTTTGAGATATTTACTAAAAATAATGAATTTGATCAGAACAATGTTACAAAGACAAAGTCCTTCATCAATTAAAACACAACATTTATGTAGGTGGGTTGAATATATGGAATTTCTGCTTTTGACAGAGACAAGAACAGGTGCCCCAAGATTGTTACAGGAGATTAGTGTTGACCTTACCACAGTCTGATCTTTAGATCAAGATACATCTACTATACTGACAATTACTACAAATTTTCAAAGCTACCACTTTGCTTAATGAAATTCTACTTATGTAATAAATCTCATATTAAAGTTTTTTATCTTTATAAGTAAGCAAACTACTGATTCATTTGCTATTTTTTGATGAATCCATTATTACTATTACCAGTATTACTAATAGATCACTATTAATTAATAGTTAAAGAATTATTCATCAAAATGAAGGTGATCAGTGGTGGATATTTACCAAACCACAAAGCAGTGAGGTAAATACCCACCACTTTCATCAGCACTGAGGTGAATAATTGTTTTGGTATATAACTCACAGAAACTGAAAAATTAGTTTATTTCCGTTAATTAACCCAAAAAATAATCAAAACTTCAATTATTGACTTACAATTTTGACTCTTTGGCTGCTCTGAGGTAAAGAGTACTTGCTAATGACCTCTGAACCAGCCAAGCAGCATGTGAAAAGCACTCTTTACCCGTGTGGTATGTACTAATATTTTTTTATCAATATTTTTCCTCTTGCCAATGTTTTACCAAGATAAACCTGTTTGATATTCTAACATTATCTTAACTCAATGCTCTTCCTCTTTCTAACATAAGGAAATGCATACACTCTAGCAAACCTAGACTCAAAATAAATCTGATGGTTGCCTAAACTTCTCAGTTTCTTACTTACAGCACCCTGATATGGTTACTTATGCTAATGTGAATAAAAACTAATTTTTTAAAAACCTTATGCAGTATAGGTAAGGTTATTTTGTGGAAGAATACGGTTCTAGAGTAGAGTTTTTTCTTCACTTAAGCAGTGCTCTTTAACTGAATGCAGGGTTGGGAATTCATCTTTCATCTCTATTAAGAGACAATGCACCAAGGTAAGCACAGCTGTATAAACACCAGCTGGTAAAAGTCTGTATTAGGGTATGGATTTTGAGTGCTTGTGCAATTTTAGGAAGCTGGGGTAATTTTGAATTCTTTTTAAGTCTAGAGCATTTCCATAATTAGTTCTTGCCTGAAATAGAGTCTCATTATTAAACCACATCTGAAAATGGGGCAGGTAGAACGGAGCATAATTAATCCAAGGTAATGAAAAGGTTTTGAAAATAACAAGGCAAAGTTGTGCCAACATTCTTAAGGAGTCTCCCTCCTTAGTCCCTCGTCAAATGAGGAAACTCTTGTTGAGTTCTCTGATGTGGAATGCTAGTTGCCTTTGGTTGGTAGGTGTACTGAAGGTTTCATGATTGACAGCACCATGATCAGAGCAAAGTTAATAAAAGTTGCAATGGATGCAGCTTGCTTCAGTGTAAGTGGAAACCCGTATGTCTTGGTACCCAGTTGGAACGACTTCACCAGCTTGAAAAACCTCTGCCACTCTTCTTTATCACCATGTAACTGACCAACGGACCATACGTAAGTGAGATGTTGTGAAACGTTTGAAAAAGTTCTAGTGATCTCTGCTGAGCTATACAAGAGGCGCAAGGAAAGAAGAAACCAAATGCCCGTTTTGAGCAAAGTCCACCAGTGGGAAGACGAAAAATTCGGAACAAGATGAACCATGGCTCCGACATGAATAACAAGACTGACCACAGAGAAGAAAAGAAGCATGACAATGAACGGCTGGAAAAGGCCAGCAAGGGCATCGATGCTGTATAGGACGTGGGCGAGATATTTACTGGCATCTGCTGCCGTGATTTGTGGTCGTTTAGGTACATTTATCCTCCCCTCTACTGATTTCGAGAAGTTAACTGACTCGGTGGAAAAACTGTCAAACTCCTGAGGTGTCACTGCATCCCAGTTGCCTTCCTCGAGAATGCCAGGATCAGAACTTACTTGAATTTCATCCAACAATGGAACTTCCTGTTCATATACTAAAACAATGTCTTTCTTGGTCTGGAAAAAATCCATTGAAACGAATCCACTTAGGCCATTTATTGCTCTTCTTAAGAAGCCAAGCTTTCTCCAAACAGGCGTTTGGTTAGTTACCGAGGGACGATACAACAGAAATGGACTGTCTCCAAACCTGCACATAAAACTGACCACATCTCGCACTGTCAGTCGGCAGATCAGAATAAAGGAGTAGGCTAGAAATCCAGTGATGTACATAGCCATTGCCCAGAAGAAGCAATAAAGCACGTGCCAAGTCATATCGTTAATTTCGAACAGCATAAAGTTGCTGTCTTTCCAAGAACCTGGGAATTTGTCCCCTTGAAATTTCGTGCGAAAAATCGCATAAGCAGTCCAGTGATAAATCTCTAGGACGAAAGGATAGATGCAATTTTTCAAGGCAGCTTTCCTCAGCCAAGATGCCCTTTGTGTCTCGTGCCACGGAATTTCCTGAACAAACTCTGGAAAGCTGGTTACCATTGATTTCCTAGACAGCTTCCTTCTCAATAACTTGTTGAAGGCTGAGGAAGTATACACGCGAAATCCAGCAATCAGTGCAATTAGGGGAACGATGAAAAGCGAAAACTCTATCCATGTATCGATAGATGACCGCACAAAGACTCCGAGAACGGAGACAAACGTCATTCCTCCGAGCAAAAAGATGAAAATAAATCCTCCGAGCCAAGAGTGAACTTTTGAATAGAGCCGTTCTCCAGGTCCAAAGAGAATAGATACGGCGACCATAGGAGATAAAGCTCTAGAATAAGAGTTTCCCGTTGAAATGGACGCGCTTGATAAACTCATTTTTAAATCTTTTGAAAAAATGAAACTGAATTGTCGATTATCGGCTTCAAGAGTTATATTCTAAAAAATCCTAACATGAATAAATTTCATGCTCCTTAGCGCGTATGAGCCGAATAGTGACTCTTTTCTTTTCGCTTGATACTTCACTGTCCCTTTGAAGATTTGTGATCCGAATCAAAGAGAACAGAAAGTAGGAAAACACAGCGGGTTTCGCAGGAACTATTCCCTTCGCGTCACTTAGTTTCCCTCACAACGGTTGTTTGGGTCTATTACTCGTTCTAGTCACGCAACGCGCTTTTTAAATTCAGCACTTGACTGAATAAGGTTTTTCACTCTTTGATCTGCAGTACATGAGAAACGTTGCGATAAGAAATCTCTACCAACCCGCCAACCTTGTTCGTAGGTCGAAAAGTATTATTGAACAAAGAATTTTAAAAATTATATCATAATTAAATAATATAATTATTTGATAATCATATAAAAGCATTCGGACTGATTTTTCTCGTGATCTCTTGGCGTCATCATCAATCAATTCATCCTCCAAAACAAATACATTAAGATTCCATGTTGTCGTGGGAGAAGAGACCAAAATATGGTAAGAGCAACCGAGACACACTCGGTTGCGCGCCGTGTGCCACATTTTTTTTTAACCACACTTCGAAGTCATCTGTGATCGATAAGTAAACAGATGTACAGAGACATGAATCTGTTTGTTAAATCGACTTATTTACCTTTCCAGAGGTACGCAATTTGTTTCCTTTTTTTATCATAGAGACTCGTTGCAGCTACTTCTACATAGTATCACCTCTTTTCGCTCTGACGAAGGAATGATGCTCGAGATGTCAATTTTATAGAAACTCTTTGCGGTGACCTTTTAATATGATCAACTCAGTTGATAAACCAAATTTTCTTGTACCTCAGTGGCAGCGCCACAGTTTTTAGAAAATTACCCCCTCCTTCCTTTTTTATATAATATCCTTGGCATAAGATTATTTACCGAATCGCGAGCCTGTGGAAAACCATGAACGAATCTATATTGAAATACACACAAATTCGTTTAGTGTTGACCTTTTGCAGATATCTGCAACCAGCTCTACATATTACCTTCCTTTGTTATTTCGTCATTCAGAACGATACTTAGTTCTATTCCAAGCTCCGAAAGGAATATATTCTCTTGTTTGGACAGTCAGAATTTTGAAAAAAACGTGGCGGATGTTTCAGTGTGTTTGATTTTTTAGGTTGTATAGCAATAGTAGGTAAAGGAATAAGGTTGCCACGGAGTATTTATGTAGATCCAATACTTCATTTATGCGTGCGTACCTTAGGAGAAATTCTCAAGTCCTACGAAGCGAGCCATCGGGTTTATTTCGTCCAGCATTCAGTGGCAGTCAATGATAATAGTTGTTAAAACTCTTTCAAAGCACACATTTGCTATCGATTAAATTATTTAGGTAATTCTCGACTCGAAAAAAATTTTTATACTTATTTTTCCAACGGCAAGTTTAATATCTCTTGCCGGGAAGATGACATTTTTCACAAAGCAAGTTCTTCTGAATAAATCATACTGGGTCATATTTTAATCCGTTGTTTATTGTTTTTGGGGATCTTAAATTCATTCTAATTTATTCGGTTCAGTAGAAAGGCTACACTGCAGGGCCGCAACAATTATATTTAATATACCCAAAGATATGACATCATCCGACGTGGCTTAGATACGACCAGTGGCCTTCCCTTCCCTTATAAATAAGACATCTTCCAGCTTTTCTACAAAGGCTACGATGCTGCTCTCCCCGACACACTGTCTGAAAACATCCTTAACTGTCGCTCAAATGGTTACTTTCTGAGGGGACGCGACCTTTAAACAGTACTCAGGTTCCAAACAAGATACATGAAAAAAGGGGGTAACTTTCCATAGAAACTGTGGTGCTACGTCGGTGGGAGAGTATAACCGGGTAATTTAGTTTTATCAACTGAGTTGAAAACGCAAATTGGCCACCGTAAGAGTTTAAAGGCTGACGCGTCGGGCGTTAGCCCTTTATCAGAGCGATGGGAGAAATTGTGGGTTGTGTGTGGGTTTATATGCAGAAATTGGAGCTACGTATCGGTGGGAATATGGTGACGAGAAAACAAAAATAAATTAGTCGAGTGAAAAGCGCTCCTTGGAACCGTGGGGATCAAGAGTGCCGATTTGGAAGATAAATTTTTGCTGTTTAGAATGATTAGGGAGATTTAAGTGTGTATGGCCAACCTGGAACTTTCAAATGTGCCCGTTCACGATGCAAAACTTGTGCTCTCATTCATGACGTAGAGAAAATGTCGGGACCTAAGAGATCCATTAAGATCACTCACCATTTTACGTGCACATCTGCCAATGTTATTTGCTGCTTAACTTACCTTTATTGAAAAAAGTTGAAAACACAAAATTACCAACATACATGAAAGACTCTCTTAAATATTGCGGCGCTTTGTTATGGAACTCTGTTTGCTACTATAAACAAGAAGTTGGACGCTTTAGTCTCAATAATCTGAAAAAAACGCCTTCTAATCAGACTACTCTAAAGAATTCAAATTTGACATACTTTCCGCTTCAACTGCTCGCCTTATACATACTGATTTTTTTTTACGTAGAAGTTATAATATGTATTACTTTCTACTTTCAAATTCAAGTTAAATTTACATAACGTGTAATTTTCCTTTTTCCTTCACACGACTCCACAAGCTTGAAGCTTAAAATATTATCGTGTATAAATAAAGGTCATCTAACTATCTATCTATCTATCTGTCACTCGCGCGAGTCAAAAGAGTCAGCGAAAAAAACAACTGCTGTCATCGCCGCGCTAAACTCTGGGAGTGATGGACGCGAAAAAGAAGCTGGACTGCTCGAAGTCCAGGAAGTTAGAGGTTATACCTTCACTGTCCTTAACGGTAAACTACTGGCTACTGGCTCTAATGTGACAAAAACATTTTCTAGATCAAAGCTTAGACCATCCATTTACAAAATTTCTGAATCTGCCACTGTTTAGTAAATTATTTTACAAACTTGTGCTTACATCTTTTTTTTTTATACTCTTTCACTTTTGAATCGTTGAAAGAAAAAAAAAACTAAACAAATTTGGTAGTAGTGATAAATATCGCAGAAAGCGCAAAAAACACGTGGGATCGAATTCAGTTCACATTTGGTTTGTTGAACAGGTGATGTTGGTTTTTAAAACCAATCACAAAGCGTTGTTAGTTATCTCTAGTCTCCATACCAGCTGTTTTTTGGGATGTCACGCAACGCTTCCCTCGAGAAGATGGCTTCGTGACATGTCAAAAGACGGTTGCAGGGTCGGTTGCAGGTTGTAGGTTCCTGCCTCGCCTCTTAAGTTTTACATAAATTTCGATGATGAATCGTACATGGCGACACTAATGCCTGATAACAAGGGGGTGTTAGTCACCACGTGCTGGCAAGTGTACTGATGGTTTCATGATTGACAGCACAATGATCAGTGCAAAGTTGATGAAGGTTGCAATCGATGCCGCTTGCTTCAGTGTGAGAGGAAACCCGTATGTCTTGGTCCCCAAATGGAACGATTCGACCAGCTTGAAAAACCTTTGCCACTCTTCTTTATCGCCATGTAGCTGACCTACAGACCAGAGGTAATTGATATGCTGTGAGACGTGTGATAAGCCTTTCGTAATGCCAGCTGCACTCCAGAGGAGCCGGAGTGAGAGTAGAAGCCAGATGCATGTTCTCACAAATGTCCACCAATGAGACGTTTTGAAGTTTGCAATAAGGCTTACAATGGCTCCCACGTGGGTCACAAGGTTGGCCACAGAGAAAAACGATATTAGAACGATGAACGGCTGAAAAAGACCTGCCAAAGCTTCAATACTACCGATGACATTGGAAAGATACTTGCTGGCGTCTACTGGAGTAATTTGTGGTCGTTCTGGCACACTAAGCCTTCCCTGTGTTGGTCGCGTTACCTCAATCGACGCAGAAAAATTATCAAATCCCTGGGATTCCTGTGGATTCCAGTGTCCTTCTTCGAGAGTACTTTGGTCCAAAGTGATCCCGACTTCATCTAAAACTGGTACGTCCTTTTCATAAACTAGAACAATGTCCTTTCCAGTCTGGAAGAAATCCATGAAGAGAAATCCAAATATGCCATTTATGACCCTTCGTAATAGACTAAGGTTCTTTAAGACTAGGTTTTGTTCCTCCGAGGGCCTGTACATCAAAAATGGACTGTCACCAAACATACACATAAAGCAAACAACATCTCGGACAGCCAACCGGCTAATCAGAATGAAAGTGTAAGCTACAAACCCAGTTATGTACATAGCCATTACCCAGAAGAAACCATACAGACCTAACCAAGTCCTTGCGTCAAGTTCGAACAATTCAATATGACTCTCTGTCCAAGAACCTGCAAAATAGTCCCCTTCAAATACCGTATGGAAAATGATATAGGCAGTCCACTGATAAATTTCTAAGACGAATGGATAAATGCAGTTTTTCAAGGCAGCTTTTCTCAACCATGATTTTCTCTTTGTCTCGTGCCACGGAACGTGTTCATCAGACTCCAAGAAGCCGTTCACCATGGATTTGCCAGACAGTTTCCTCTGAAGAAGTTTGTAGAAGGCTGAGGATGTGTAAACGCGAAATCCAGCGACCAAAGCAATCAAGGGAACGATGTAAAGCGAAAACTGTATCCACGTGTCAATGGTCGTCCGAACAAACACTCCGATGACGGCCACGAAAGTCATTCCGCCGAGCAAGGAGACAAAAATGAATCCTCCAAGCCAAGAGTGTAACTTTGAGTAGAGCCTCTCTCCAGGTCCAAAGAGAGTGGATAAAGCAACCAAAGGCGACAAAGCTCGGGAATAGGAGTTCATCGTCACAATCGATGCACTCGAGAAAGCCATAGCTAGAGCTTATTAACTGATTTTCAGAAAACTTCCGGTCAGGGTACAAATCAAAAATTTGTAATTTAGTTACGATCAGGTGATCATTGGTAATTGATACTGACATCATGCTCTATTGGCCATTGGCTAAAAAAACCTTAAGGGTCGTATAGGTCGAGCAGCCCTGGTTATCCATTTGTCACTTCAAGCATAGTAACAAAAATAATCCCTGAGATCATTTTGTCAGATAAGAAGGATTTGTGGCTGGGCATTTTAGGACGAAGTTGTTGAGACTTTGTTTTAAGTAATCAGTATGATCATGCCTT